GCGCGCGGAACTTGCCGACCAATGGTGCCGTTTATCACCTGTGACGTAGTGACCAACCTGCGCAATATCATCATGGGGTTTCTCGTTTATGAGTCGAGGTACGAAGTGCGGCCATTAAAACCACACCAAATCATATTAATGTCCTACTTTTTATAAAACTAAAAAGCTGCATACATATTTGTTCTATCCCTCCTAATTTTCGGAAATACAGGGCGAATTAGAAAATCTTGTCGATTTAACTATTGAGAGCTCTAGTTATATCCCTTCTTCCAATAGCTCGAAACTGTGTTGGAGGTGTTGTGTGAGGGGCTCTGTCGTGCTGGAACCAGTACCTGTTAAAGTGTGCCAGCACTGCAAAGCCGACGCTACAAAACTTTGAGGCACGTTTTTTGGAGGGACCAGAAGAAGCAGAAGAAGACCAGAGAAGCCAACATAAGCGACATCGGGAACTTTGCAAAGAGCTGGAAGTGGTTTAACGCAAAGAAAGAATGAGAGGAAGGTTTGGTACAATAATAACAGGGGCTTCGCAATGGCTACAAGGCCTCCGAGTGGGGGATCAAACAGGATCTCATACGCCAGTAACCTAACCTACCTAAAATGTGTCAGAAGTAAATTATTGAAGTATTCTTCAAATTAGGTTGTCAAAAACTGCAGGAGGTAAACTGCAGTCCTAATAATTGATTGGAGGTCAGAAGATGAAACGTCGGACGACAAATCTGAAACCACTGTTGTGTAGTGGGAAAAAAGTGGCAATGAAAATGAAAATATTCTTTTAGTTTTAAGATACCTTGTCAAATAACGTCAGAAAAAAAAATCGAAATCAACAATTTTCGTTTTTATTTCGCATCTCTCCGGCACTACTCGGAATTTTAAATGTTTCTAAACAGCATATTATTAGGCACATTAATGCACAACTTTGATCCTATTTAACCATCCTCGTACCTCCTATCCTCCTATTTTTAGTGAGGGTCGAATTAGAATTACTCGGTATAATGTTTACTATCACTGATCTGCAATGGACCTCAATTACTGCAATATAAAGGTGCGTGACGTGAGCTGTCAATTACGGAAGATGGCGGAGTTAATTAATTTTCTGTGTGATTTTCATTCGTGAATTTTTCCGATATTTTAATGGTTATTCTGCTATTCGGGGTGGAGACAAATCCAACAAGTCAGACATCATTAAAATCGGTCCAGCCGTTCTTATAAATAGTAACAGGAAATTTTATTTAGATTAATAAAATTTCCACAGACATACTCAGCGATATCGCAGTTGCCTAATATATTAAATAACGGTAATAACCGAAAATCGTTCGATGGCTATATGGCGAACGGCCTATTTTTATCAAAACGGTATATCGAAAAAAAACTCAATTTTATCGGCACATAAATCTAGTTCACGTAGCGATCATGTCAATAAAACTAAATTGCCTTTATTGCTGTCACGAATTTTCGTCCGGGAGACATAGAAGTGACATTAAGAAGGAGAGCGAGCATATGTATATGTTTTAATTTATAAAGCAATATAATAATAAACTCCTATAAAATTAATACATAGTTATATCATCTGTAGATTTATATTTTTTTTATTGCGTCGACAAATTGTTCTTTAAGTCTAACTTCTGGTGGACTTTTAGTCTCCCCAAAATAATATTTTCCCTAACTGCGTGGTTGATGATAGACACTTTCTTTTTTCCGGACAAAACTACTTCGGTTTTCCATAATTGCATTGTTTATGATACACACCTTCTATCTTCTGATCAAAACCTTTTCAGTTTTCTTATAACTACATGGCTCATGACAGACTCTTTCTTCTGGCCAAGACCTTTTGGTTTTGTCTTTCTTAATAAGCGGATATTAAGGTATTGATAGCTCTGATAAGCAAAAAAACCTGACCTAATAAACAAAAACAATGTAAAAAGTAATAATGGGAATGTGTCTTTACAAATATAGACACTTCCTTTCTTCCGGACAAAACTACTTTGGTTTTCCATAATTGCATTGTTTATTATAGACATCTTCTATCTTCTGATCAATACCTTTTCAGTTTTCTTATAACTACATGGCTCATGACAGACTCTTTCTTCTGGCCAAGACCTTTTGGTTTTGTCTTTCTTAATAAGCGGATATTAAGGTATTGATAGCTCTGATAAGCAAAAAAACCTGACCTAATAAACAAAGACAATGTAAGAAGTAGTAATGGGAATAATCTTTACAAATATATGGTTAGAAAAAATAAAAACGTAGCCGGGAAAATTCCCAAATATCTTCGAAAATGACTCAGGTTTTCTTTATATTGCGAAACATGACGTAGGATTCAGTCTGTTTTACGAGATCCCTGGAATGTGTATTTTAAAAAACTTAATGTTGAAATCAAGAAAAGTCCAAACCACTGTCAAAAAAATTCTTTATTAGTGACCGGTTTCGGCAATTCCAACCATCATCAGACCTTTGTCAAAAAAAAGACAGTTGTTCGTTTGACTTTATACTAATGGCTGGCAAAGGTTAGTCTTGGGTCGAGATTTCCTTTTGTAAGAAGAGCACAATGCGTTTATAATGTCCTGAATAAAGAGAGAACAGTAAACACGTTGCCAAACGTATGAAATAAACCGAGAAACTGCGCACATTGCTAAGAGACGTGGAAGGGGATATATAGCAGATTTGTCACAGTCGACAGGTCGACCCAATCAGTACCTCTGTCAGTACTTAAAGTTCTAGGGAGAGGTGTACATCGTGCGTTCAGCTTCACGATTTAATTACGTCTCGTGATACTTTATTTGTTTATTTATTAAAAAGTCGTTGTAATTTTCCCTATAGCTTGACAGCTTTTAAGTGCAAGTTAGAACACTTGCAATTTTGGTAAAAAATAAGTGGAATTGAGTTGGTGTTCGACAGTGGTCGCGCTATTAGAACTCTGAATTCAAAAGTCGATATCTCGAAATCTATTAGAAATAATTCGAAATCTATTAGAAGTCTGAATTCAAAAGTCGATATCTCGAAATCTATTAGAAATAATCGATTGTAGTTTTTTCAAAAAGTTTCTTAACACCTCTGCTATATTTTCTTCGCACAGTATGTGAAAATCTTTATAAATAAAAAAGTTACACGATTGCTGAAAATTGCTATGCACTAAAAATAAATGGATGGGCTGTTAAAATTTTTTGACCAAACCAAAAACCCTCTTGCATTTTTCTTATTAAAACATATTGTAAAAGATCCGATCTTCAAAATAAAAAAAAAGTTTCAATATCTAAAGTGTTTCTTAAGTTATGGCGTGTTATGTGTTAAAAAGTTGAGTTTTTAAATTATCGCGATTACTGACGTTTTATCGTTATAAAAAATGGACACCCTAACGAAATCCCTGTAATTCCATTTCAGATGCTCAGAAACATATTAAATTATTATATCTAGTTATCTTTTCGAAAGTCTTTTAAAAATAAGCGGTTTGCGATCGTGATTTTACTTTACTTGATAGGTAAAGGCGTACCGGCAACGCCGCAATAGCACACCGTCGCATTTCTCTCATTCCGACTTAATAAGATCCCTATGCAGTTTACTTCGACACATGTAAATACCGACCCAAAAGTGACAGTTCCCAGCACGGTATATAAAATTCAATTTTATATATAAAGGAATTTTATATATAAAGTCAAATGAACAACTGTCTTTGACAAAGGTCTGATGATGGCTGGAATTGCCGAAACAGGTCACTAATAAAAAAAATTTTTGGCAGTGCATGGTTTGGACTTTGTTCTTAATTTTAACATTAAGTTTTTTTTACCATGGGCCACCACTTTGTGAAAATGAACAAACTCTATAACTTGTGTATTCTTAGGTGTATATAATTTAATTGTAATGTACCTTTATTAAATATATTATTGAATAATGGATATTTTTTCTAGTTTCATTTCAACAATCAAGTATTCACGCGGTTAGAAGCTTCTCGGCTAGTTTTCCTGCTAGGAGAGGATCAGTGGCATGCGCGCTTGCGCCCAGTTCCGGCAACAGCGCCAGTAGTACTAAAAACGGACCGGCAAAAACGCAAGAAAAAAGAAGTACCAACCCTAGTTCCCCTCACAGCGACGAAAGAGTACCAAAGAGGCGACTGCTTCGCGCAAAGACAGAAGAAGCCAAAACAGAGTGAGTATTATTAACAACCTGTCTTTTGTGTATATGTCATTTTTAAGAAATACATTTAAATGTACGCCCGGAAATCATACCAATATGATCGAAAAAAAAACGGCGTCAAAGACGGCTGGAGAATGACAATCGATGATAATTTTAGCAAGGTCAAACCCTAGACGTCAGTTACTTGCACGGCCAGTACCGTAATCATCGTAATAACAAGGCCGGACAGCTGTGACGTAAAAATCTCGTGACGTCACCAACTCGAGGCCCAATTCTATTTAGCAGCGTTGATAATTACCCGATAAAAGTTCAAATTGTGGACCTTTTTTCACTCGCCAGATATATTTCGTGGCGTCGCGTGGGGGCGACTATCGTAGCGCGTAGCGGAGTGGTATTGCCGCAATTGACAGTCATCGATTTATCGGTAGGTGTGCGGACGTGGTAATTATAATCGATAATAGAAGGGTGAAAAAAGTTATAAATCTGTAAAAAGAGGTGTAAACTATAAAGTGATTATAAGTGTGTGCAATTATACAATTTAAAAGGTATAATGCCTTATAATAGTAATATTGATCAAATTATTAGTCATGCTTGTTATTTACTAAATTCTTTAAAATGCGATGAAAATAATAAAAAATTTCTAACTTTTATCTGTGTTCAATATTAAAATTATTAACTTGAGTTGAGTTAATTATTAACTCAGGTTGAGCTTGAAGTAATAAAATATTGTTTTAATGAGTAAAACATGAGGTATATTTTACTAGAGAACTAGCAAACTGATCCTCTTGAAAGTAGGTTTGGAAAATATAGACAGTTAGCCGGGAGTCAGTACAGTATTTGTGTTCGACATTAATATGAAGGCGAAAAGAAACTTAAGATTCAGTCATTAATGTCCCTAAAAATAATTTAACATTTTTTCAGACAACACTAATATTGAACAAAATTCACTTATAAAAAACCTTACTAAAGGCAGTCTTGGCTTTCCAAAAGATGAAATAACTAATATAGTTTTATTTGAATATATAATTTTTAACAAAGTCTTGCAAAGCCATGAGGAGTTTCTCAAAATTAACAATAAAAAAATATTTTTATCAAAAATATCTTGGATTACATTAAAAGTAATACCATTATTAAAATTTCCGCAATGTACTATTTATAATGCTAAGTTATTGTAAAAATTGTCATAAATTCTATTAGAAATATACGTCTAAAAAACTACTGTTGTTAAAAAATAATGATAGACTTGGAAAAGAAAATAAAAGAAACTTAAACACACTTACAGCATAAATAAATACAATGACGATGGATAATGTGAGATGGGATATCAATCTGATGTTTTTCAAATTTTATGTTTAATTATTATTTATTAAAAATTCGATGCAATTAAAGTTTATATCCATTATATACGTATAAAGTGTATCAAATGCAATCAAAGTTTAGGCCTCCAGTTGATGACGTCACGGATAAGCTGTCCGGCCTTGTTATTACGGTGGTTACGCCAGTACTCTTCTTTATTTTTTAACGGCGTTTACTGCCAGTTGGCCTTAAGAAAGTTGTAATTTATTTTTATATTGAGTAAAATTATAGTTAAGTTGGGTTGTTTAAAAATGATGTCTAGAGAATGACCGGGCTGAAATTGTCATCGATTGTCACTCCCCAGCCGCCTTTGACGCCGTTTTTTTTTCTATAATACGGTACTTGGGCAAGACTGTGATTTTGTCATCTACTTGACAAATAGAATCTAACTGAGTGAAAAGTTCCCACTCTCTAATTTTTTAGTTGGAAAAAATCTAATGTTACAGGGCTTAAAGGGCGCGAAACCCAAATAAGGACGCCGTTTGGCGAGTTCTCATGACACCGCCATCGATAAAATATGATTTATTCCGGTTTTGGTAAAATAGTCGTTCAGAGGACGAGGCAGACATCGAATTTTTCGACTGGTTTCCCGTAACGGAGACACGGAACGGCCGTTTGCATAAATCCGCCATTTTTTCTCGGATATTTTTTTTTGTCTATGTAGACGAAACGTATCTTTGTGGCGTTGACACTCTGAGGTACCAGGAACCGTATTCTTCACTAAAAAATATTTATAAATTAAGTATCAACAGTATGTCTCCGGATCGTCTTTACAAGAGGAAACACTTTGTTGTTAACTTTTTGAGAAAAATGCATTAAGTATGCACAATTTCCATACCGTTATAGAGAAAAATAGAAAAAAAAATAATATAATATAAAGCGATAGGTACCAATTAAACTTTTAGATACGTAATCGAAAACGTGATTTTTAAATTCGTTGTTGCCATCCATAGATATTCGGCGCCGGGCTGACTAACTATAATTTAAATTTCCCCCTGGTGATTTAGGTGGTAGTTCTGCTGTAAAATATGTCAAGTTACCACATTTATTTCCTGACAGTGTCATTCGTTTTGACACTTTAGTTTTGTTATTACGAGTTTTTTGTTTAAATGAATTGTGTTGTGATACTTTAAGCTTAAACATTTTTACTAGCAGACCTTGCAGTCGAACATTGTTCTTTCTAGAACCTCTTTTAGTGCGAAGTGTACAAGATAGCTTAAGAGCCGTTGCAAAAAACACATCGCAACCTTATTAGAGTATTTTGAACGGGAAAGCGGTAGTAATGTCCCTTTATGTCTCTTAAGTGCTGTTAAGGAGGTGAGTTTTGTTGGAAATAATAACTGTTTATATATTTATAATTAATTTATTTTTGTTTCCTAAAATATTTTGATTAAAAGAAAATATGTAAAAGCGGGCAACGCTGTGCCGGTCAAGCTTAATCACGTGACTAAAAGTTTATTTGATCTATAGTTATATAAAAATAAGAGACACATTGTCATGAAAATTTGTTCAGAACTCTTCTTCTTCTTAAGGTGCCGTGCAGATTCCTGCGTAGGCGTTCATCTTTTTCTTCCTCATCAGATGGTTCTGTTAACTGCCGCGACTTGGAGTGCTTGGAAGTCCTGTATGCCTGTCAAATGACGAATATTTTTCAGCCAGGATAGCTTCCTTCGTCCTATCCCCCTTTTGCCCCCTTCTATTTTACCCTGGAGAATCAGACGCTGAAAGTGATAGCGTTCTCCACGTAGTATGTGTCCCAAATAGGCTATTTTCCTCTTCTTGATGATTTCGAAGAGTTCACGTTGTTCCAGACCAGCTCTTCTGAGAATGTCTTCATTCCTAACACGGTCGACCCAGGGCACTCTTAGCATTCGTCGTAGGGTCCACATTTCGAAGGCTTCAATTCGGTTTATTGTTGCTACCTTCAGTGTCCATACTTCCACACCATATAACAAAACGGACCAGACATAGCACTTCACCATTCTGTATCTAAGGCCGAAGTTCAAATTCCTATCTGTGAGAAATCTTCGCAGTCTCAGAAAAGTAGATCTTGCTTGTTCGATCCTGCATTTGATCTCCTGATCCGGATCCCACGTTTCGTTAACCATGCAGAAAAGTTCAGAACTCAATTCTTGACAACTTTTGTGTAAGAAAGTTTTTCATACAGTATACGGGGTATGCCTTAATGGCATGCTAATATTTAAAGGGGCGATTCTTGGATCTATTCTAAGAAGAAAAAAAATCATATGAATGTATGTCCTTATTTTATTAATTACTTAATTATAATTTAATTTCTGAGATACAGGAAAGTAAAATTTTCTAAAAAAATGTATTTTCATAGGGTTTCCATAATAACTCTGATCTTATTATAGATATCTTTCAAACTTGATACACGTCTTCTATGCATCAAAATAGCTTTTTTGGTGTACAAAGAATTTTATTTATTTCAACCAGTGCCGTCCTGAATGGATTTTGGAGAAAAAAGTGGTACACCACTGACCTCTTAAAATAAAAATTATTTACAAAATTCAATTCATTTTTAAACATTTTTTATCTTTTGATTTTTTTATCCGACGCATAGTTTTTACTTAAAAAATTAAAGTAGTAAACTGACTTTAATTCAGGGCCATCGCTGAAAAGCTGATGCGGTGACTGTTGTGTGAAACAATTTATGCATTGGCGCGCGGCGCGAAGGAAATTAAGAAATAAAACATTTTTTTTGTATATCAAAATAAGCATTTTGATGCATGGAAGACGTGTATCAAATATAACATCAGATATATTTTGAAAAAAAATAGAAAATTTCACCACCCTGTATCTGAAAAGTTGAGATGTTTAGGGCATATATTCATAAGAAGTTTTTTTCTTAGAATAGACCCAAGAATCACCTCCTTAAATATTAGCATGTCATTAAGGAACACCCTGTATTTCAACATTGTAGTTGCGACGAGATACCCCGTATATTAATAATAATAATAATAATATGGGTTTATTGTCTAACAGATTAAAAAAATCCAATTACAAGACAATATTAACTAGGTCTATACTAATACTGTTATAATTTGCTATGTTGTTCCATTGGAAGCAAGAACGGTATATGGGCGCTTTCTGCTGCAGATTTGATGTCGCCAATGGCTGATAAAATTCACACTGTTGAGGATGAGCAATCGGGACCGCAAAGTTTACTTTGTTTAACAATTAAGTACATTCTATCAAGTTGTTGCACATTTTAAATAAAAAAACTTAAGTTATTTTGTATTCTGCACCTCTCAAGAGAACAATCGAATACCTATCTCATATAAAAATACATAATTAATTCAATAATTGACTTTATAAAAATTATATCGCTTTACAGGTAATTTGCACGGAAGAATACTAGATTCAAACTGTAGCGATGTTAATATCTAACGCGGGATGGGTTGCATCCTTAGGTACTAGTGGGTGTTAGTTGTTTCTATGTCGCAAGAAAAATTTGCCAATTGTTCAACGTCCCGTTATGCAACCTCGAATGTACAACTAAAATAACACCTCCTCCTCTTGTCACACTCATTGCATCCAAGTCCCGATCCTTCCGGTATACCGCTTAGATTCACTATCGAAACTCCAGGCTGGATCCGTGACTCCGAAACCGCAACAATGTCATAGAGCCCCGAGGAAACAGACAACAAGAACACATGCGTTTAGTGTTAAGTCCACGCACATTCTGGTAAATTGTTCGAACACTTAACTGTGGGTACGTAGAGCTGAATCCTCTGGCTTCCGAAATTTTTGTGTTTCTACTATTTTAGGTGTTCCGTTGATGTTAGGGTTCCCAACCGTCCCGGTTTGGCCGGGATTAACCAGGAATCAGAAAGTTTGCCCCGGCGAAAGTTTTGCCTTGGCCGGGACGTGGAAACTAAAAAAATGTGTACTGCACACATAATATATTTTATTTTGTAATATTTAATGTCTTGCTTCAATTATTTAAAAGCTTAAAAATAAATGTCCCAGAATCGCCGATGCTCAAGTTGGGAACCCTAGTTGATGTATCTTATAGTTTTACTTGTGCAGCCATTCATCTTCATAATATTTCAGTCTTCTCTCAATTTCTTAAGATTTGATTGCTGCATCTTAGTTAAATCTGTTTTGAAATAGGGGCCTGAGTAGTTCTCTAATTGAGGTTTACTTCGAACGAGAGTAAGTGCATCTTCAGCTGAATTACGTATAACTTTAACAGGTCTTATTTTATTGTTGTTATATGTTCCGATTCTAAACACTTTGATATTAACCTTATTTATTTGAGCATGGTTATTTATGGCCTTAATGAGTGAGTTGTAATCATCCTCATTTCTCTCTTCTTTGGTTTGCCTACGAGATTCAGGAACATTGAAAGCTATGACATTCGACTCTCTTCTCTTTCGCTCATTAATTTCACTGATAACTATGGATAACTCCTTCGGATGACAGGGCATTACTATGGTTGTTGTAGTCTCTTTCAAGTTGATTCAACTTCTTCCACATGAGCTGGTTTTCCTCTTTTAATCTTTGGTTTTCTTCTAAAATCAAACTAATATTGCTCTTAATGTTCGTAAGGGTCTTTTCAATCTCGATCTTAAATGGCAAGAAGTATTTACAAAAAAGAGCTTCCATTTTGTCAATATCGGTTTTATTATTTGTTTCGACATCTTGCTCATTGATATAATACTAACTTCAGCACTAAGACAAATGGAACAGACCCATTTATGAGAGTGTTTCTTAGACGTAGAGGCCAATTTTGTAAACTCCTCATTTGTAAGGTCTGTGCATTTCTTATGTATCCAACAATCACAGTGGTTACATTTTATTGCCGGAGAATTTGTTCGAATATTCTCATCGCATACTTTGCATTTATCAACAGGAGCCATTTTTAATAATTATTTACAAAAAGTTTTTGATTTGCCCTCGTATGAATAAAACGAGTCGAAAAATCAACACGCAAAAAATAAGGTACAGACTAACGTTTTTTGCGGTATGGCTGGTAAAGAGATAAAATTCTTCACGATATATTTAATTATTATAACAAATATCAAATTTTAAGCCAAAATATAATTTCCTGCACTAACGGCCGAAACGTTACTCTTCACAGCGAAAAGTTTTTCCAACAATTTCGTATTTTACGCCGTAGGAACCTGCGGTGGGATTCTGTAAGCTCCGTAGCAAGAAATTTCCTGTCTAGCCTATGCTATTTGTATACGATTGACGAGTCACTAGACAGAAAATATGTTTACAAAATCGCTAGCCTGGATCTCAACAAAAATATACTATGTACTTAAACAGCCGTTAAACGGTAGCCTACTAAAATGCCGTTAATAGATATTATGACGTGTTGATGTCGGCGAAAAGTAATGCCTGGCGATAGGCTTTTTGCAAGAGCACCTGTGGCTCCATGACTGAGGCTATTGCTTCATGAGCGAAAGGTCCGTGGTTCAAATATCACGCTGGACCAAGACTTTTTTATTTTTTTTTGCTTATAGCGTGATCTTATTGCATTGGTTTCATGGTTTCACTCTATTTGGTTGGATTGGTTTAGTTATTATGCGGGTAGGTTAGCGTGGTTATTTGAAGGGTGTTAATTCATTGTTTAGTTGGTTATTTGGTGGGGTTGGTTGGATTTTACTAATTTATATTTGTTTTTTATATTTTTTTACAAGTGTCAAGGTTAGTTGCGTTGGTTAAGTTGGTTATTTGGTGGGGTGGATAGCGTTGGTTAGTCCTTATAAAATTCCTATATTTCATAAAACCGTCAAGTGCGTCTAATCAACGACGTCATACCTATTAACGGCATTTTAGTAAGCTACCGTTTAACGGCAGTTTAAGTACAGCCAAAAAAATAACGTCCGTACCTTGCGAAGGCAATAATATATTGTAATATTTAATATTGTTATTGTATAGAAGTGAGACCCCGTATATTGTAATTGTGTAAATTTAATTTTATAAATAAAATTAAATTTACACAGTATATATTTTAATATCTCGTATTTCTTTAGGAAGAACTAATTTATTTAAACATTTTTTACAGCTTATGGCAAAGGACTTCCGAATTTCCCAGATCGCGAAACAGCGCAGAAATACAAACCTCTGCAACTTTTTCGGTTGATATCCAGACGAAAACTACCGAAAACTCCAACGAGACAACCTTGGAAGAATCCATGAAATTAAATTTAGAAGAAAATATTATTTTAATTACGACAGACGATCAGGTAACAAATTCAATTTTCGCTTTTGATCTACTTTCTATTCAAAATTTTGTTTCTTAAAGTTTCTACAATATTGATAATTAACATTGTGATCAAACAGTTTTATAATAAAGCTAGGTTTCGATCTTGATATAATAGTTCTTTAAGGAATACTTATTGTAATTAATTATCCAGAATTAGTTATCTGTCATAGTCTAAAGCTTGTTTGATATTAAAAAAATGTATAAAATTGTATTTTACCACACCATGTCAAATCCATGTGAAAACCTGATTAAATTAGAATTACACAATTTCAGAAAAAGGAGGATCTATTAGAAAACGAGAAAAATATTGAAGATTTACCACCAGACACTCCAAATGAAAAACAATGTTGGGCTATGTATTGCAAGATGACGGAAAAAGGTAATAATTATTACTTTTTAGCTATAATCTCTGGCTATAAGTATTTCCAGTTATGCAGTGCAGTATATATCTTATCATAAAAACAAAAATATGCAGATAAAATTATAAACAATCTTTTTTAGGTATTAATGTAAGTTACGATACTATTTTAAGAGGATTGCTCACGCCCACTGAATACAGAATGAGACGTAAGACATCATTAGTAGAAGAAATGGCATTACTGGTTAACGCACCACCCTTAGAAAGGGCTGAATCTATCGATCAACAAAAAAGTATTGAATAGCTCTCCATTTGTAAAATAAAAATAAAAGAAGTGGTCCAAAATGTACCTTATTTTATTTTTAAAAAGTAGATAGGTATATGTAGGTGTATGTACTTACAAGATGATTGTTTTCTGACGGCCAAAAAAACTGAACTGAATTTACTAAAACCGGTGAATGATTTCATAAACTGGGAATCCCTTATCGTTATCAAGAATACGATAAAGAGAAATATGTAATCTTCTAATCTTATTTTATATTTAAAACCTGTTGTTATAATATGCTTTCAATTTTAACAATTGCATTGTTTCATATCCTTTCTCCATGATTTAAGTAACTTATTTAAACTCACCTGGTGTACTTGTATTAAAATATTTACTTAATTATATTTCTAAATAAAGACACGTAATAAAAAAGTAAATCACAGAGAACTTTAATAATTAAATTGCACTTCTAACCTAAATGTTTAAAAAAGGAAAGAAAACAATTTTGATTTCACATCAATTTATTAATGTTATTAATTGTTACATTGTAAGGTATTTTTAATTATTTTTGCATACAGTACATTAGAGAAAATTATTTACATGATTGCACAAAATTAGAGACAAAGTATATATTTTTAAATATTTTATTTCCATAGATTGATTATTTCTATTTCTATTTCCCATATTCCATATTCCATATTAGGAATATTATATATGATCTTTGTATATTATATCAATATATATGAAACTGTTATTGATTGTTTTGTTTTTGGGCCACAGCTGCCAGGGCTATCCGGCTATACAACTGTTCTGTCACAGGGTTCGGAAAACTACATGTTACTTTTAAAAACTACATAAACTACATTACATGTAGTTAATGTAGTTTATGTAGAGGGTGTAGTTTATGTAACCTATGTATGCAACTTTTAAATGTCAAAGGTTTGAGGGGAGGTTATAATCAGGGTTCGGAAGTTCTTCAAAAACTACGTCTTTTCCCGTTCATTAACTACATGAAAACTACGTTAATAAACTATGTATTGATATTATGAATAATTTTCCTTTGTATGAGGTGTAATAGAGATAATATGATGTAAATATTATATTTAAAGCCATATTTCTTCTGTTTTCTTAAATACATTATGTGTTTTTAAAGCTTCAACTTATTATAACCTCACCTCAAACCTTTGACATTTGAAAGTTACATACATAGGTTACGTAAACTACATCCTCTACATAAACTACATTAACTACATGTAATGTAGTTTATGTAGTTTTTAAAAGTAACATGTAGTTTTCCGAACCCTGGTTATAATAAGTTGCAGCTTTAAAAAGACATAATGTATTTAAGAAAACAAAAGAAATATGGCTTTAAATATAATATTTACATCATAGTACCTCTATTATACCTCATACAAATGAAAATTATTCATAATAGCAATACATAGTTTATTAACGTAGTTTTCATGTAGTTAATGACCGAGAAAAGACGTAGTTTTTGAAGAAAAACTACACGTAGTTAATCATGTGAATTACGTCTTAGTTAACTACTTCCGAACCCTGTTTTTCAATGCAGGGGTTGGCGGAAAAACTGAAATGTAATAAACTAATTTTTTACATGTAAAAAACCACAGTTTTTATGAAAAAGAAACTACTACTGTACTACTATTATTAAATTCTTGTCTGCTCTGCACATAAACGTTTTCTAGGGTAAAATTTATGGTTAAGAGTAAAGCACTTTTAATAACTTTATAAACTCGTAGAAACGCCCATCCAGCACCCATCTCTATGTTGCATAAAACTATTCAACTTTTTTCTGATCATATTGTGATAAATATCAAATAATATCACATTCTTTATATGACATTTCACCTAGTAACCTTTCTTGTGTTCTGGATGGCTCCACTGCGAACTGCGACGACATTTGGCGACGACAGAAAAACCGTTGACATTTTGATTTAAAATTCCATTTGGTCAGTTTTTTGCCGTAACGATTGTAGAGAGGTCTTGACTGGAATATATAGCGTATTACATTAAAAAACCTGTAGCAATGTTCAACCGAACTCCTGCAGTTAAAGACAACCATAGTAAATCAACAATAAATAAAGAAAATCAACATGTTAAAAGTGCGGGTTATACAATAAAATCATCCATAAGATCGTCATCTTCAAGTAAGGATGGCAAAACAACGAATTTAGCAAGAACTACACCCTTAATTGATCTCAGGAATCCTACCCAAAGTAAAATGAACACAGCTGATAGCAAAGAAAGTGTGAATATGAAACCTCAAATAATGACGGAAAAGGAACCCCATAAAACAGAAGCCCCTGCAAAGAAGCAAGAAGAAAAAAAGAAATGGACTTTAACAGACTTTGATATAGGCAGGCCCTTAGGTAAAGGCAAATTTGGAAACGTGTATCTTGCAAGGGAGAAAAAATCAAAATTTTTGGTAGCTCTAAAAGTTTTATTTAAGAGTGCTATTAAAGAGTTTAATAACGAACATCAAGTACGCAGAGAGGTAGAAATTCAGAGTCACTTAAGACATCCAAATATTCTAAGGCTGTACGGCTATTTCCATGACGAAAGTAGAGTTTATTTGATATTAGAATATGCCCCAAAAGGAGCTGTATATGTAGCTCTCATGAAAACCCCTGACAAAAGATTTGCAGAAGATGTATGTGCCAACTACGTAGCTCAGATTGCAGATGCCTTAAAATATTGTCATGCAAAAAAAGTGATTCATCGAGATATAAAACCTGAGAATTTACTTTTGGGTAACAATGGTGAGATTAAAATAGCAGACTTTGGCTGGTCAGTACATGCCCCAAGTTCAAGAAGAACCACTTTATGTGGAACATTAGACTACTTATCTCCTGAGATGGTAATTTTTAAATTTCAATAAAATTTTTTTACAAAAACTTTATTTAATTTTTAGGTTGCTAATAAACCTCACGACGAAAAAGTTGATCTTTGGTCGCTTGGCGTTCTGTGTTATGAATTTCTTACAGGAAAACCTCCATTTGAGGCTAGCGATTTTGAGAGTACCTACAAAAGAATCTGTATGGGTGCCTTCAATTTTCCACCATTTGTTTCAGAAGGCGTTAGAGACCTTATTAAAAGACTTTTAGTGGTGAAACCAGAAAATAGACTGGATTTAGATTCTGTTCTGAAACACCCGTGGGTATTAGAACATTTGAAGACTGAAGAAGCAACACCAAGCACTGCACCAAAAGAATGAATGAATTGTGATATAGATTTTTCTAGGGTAAAATTTATGGTTTTTATTATGTATATCAGAGGTAGATGATGTAGACCAGTCTATACTGATTTTTACTGAGTAGTGCTAGCCGTTTTGGAGGAAAATTTTATAAATTCCTAATATGAAATTCACTTTCATTTTTAGTACATTACTTTTAATAATTTATATTAACAAAGCAAAACTCATATTTTAAGATATTTTTTGTATAGGTATTGTTATTTGAACATCTAAACTAATTACTGTCTATGTAAGACTGTTTAAAATACTTATTTAATGTCTATTTTTAAGGGATTTATTAATAAAACTCTTGTTTTATGATATAAAATCTCTGTTTTATTATTTCTAAGTCTTTTGAAGAACTACATTATATATAGGGTAAATACTATTAATAATTCTAATATTTAGATATATTTAAGCTATTGTTTGTACCAGGTGATGTTCTTTTTATTTCAATATACTGTATATGATTGAGTACATTTGAAAAAATAAATTATATCTCAATTTATTTTTTACTGAAATTACATTCTTTTTTGTTTATTTAAAAAAAGTAATTTTAAATGTGTTTTTTTCAATGTTTTTTTTCTTACAATTGAAATGCCGTTTGATAACTTATATCAAACTTATATAATAGTAAGATAAAACTTATATCATAATGAGAAAACTTTGATATTGAAAAGAAAAATGGTATCACAGGGTCTTTTGAAATAATTATCCACTTAATTTATGTTAGGCCGACCTCAACATGTTATTTATTAGGAACTAACATGTCAAAAATTGATATTAAAGGTTCAACACAAATCTCTTAAAAATATATTTTTTTATTGAATAGATTTGTGAATAAATGATAAGATTTTTCTGAAAACTTTTCTATTTGATTAATGTTTATTAATAATTTTTGGTGCTAATTTTTAATAAATAACATATAGGGGTAAATAACATTGTTATTTCAAAGGTCACTGTGACGCCATTTTTTTTTCGATATTAATTCGTTATACATGGTGCCCGGTGGCGTAGAGGTACAGGCTCTCGTCTACCAATCTCAAGGTGTGGGTTCGATTCCCACACCCGGCATTTCATCAGCCGACTATTTTTATTAAAATAAAAATTGTTTGGGTACCTAGGTCGACTCAGCCTTAAATGAGTACTTGGGATTCACAATCCTGAGGTAATAATAGGCGGTTGAAGCGTAGTGCTAGCCACATTACCTTCCTTGTATACCGAACGGCTCTAGTATAGCAAGCTGTACCTTGCTACTCCCAAGGCGTTAAACGCTATATACGGGAGCTATTATTATTATAATTCGTTATACATTCCTATCGTCATTTAAGTTTTCTGATTATGATGGAACACAGGCTATGAAAATTGTAACAAAGCACTGAAAAGAAAAATATTTGAAATTCTTTTTTTATAACTATAAAGTTATTTTAAAAAAAATTCTGGAAAAACCTACACAAATTATAATTTTGTTTGTGATACATAATCTATTGTCTATATACTGTGCGATCGAAAAAAACGCGTCAATGTTGGCTTGGAAATGAAGATCGCTGGCATGTTTTAAGTAAAATTCTATGGCGAATGACATCGGTCGTCATTTCCAAGCCTACTTGACGCCGTTTATTTTTCGATAGTACGGTATGATTTGTTTTATCCAGTGTTACCAGTCGCAACAAAAACTCAAGATATGAAAAAAAATCTAAATAATTTCTTGAGTATATCACCTGGTATTACAACTAAAAATAAAGTTAAATAGTCTTCTAAAGTTAATAATAATAAGACTTTGAGTAATGAACGGAGAGATGTCAGTTCAACATAAACCTTTCTTGTGAGAAATGAAAACCATAACATTATTCAGTTCTTTAGCTCACAGTCTTTTTTGTTACTTTGTTACCTACTTCTAAAAAGTGTCTGCACTCTGTGAAAATTTAATGAAAGTACCTTAAGTGCGGTCCAGAAGCAACGACTTATCCTATAATTTGCATGGGTCGACAAAACTTTGAGATAAAACTATATGTAGCGTATGCACAGTGGCAGCTCGTCAGGGTAGGCCTCTGAGGCCGCGCCTCACCTTTAAAATGAAGGAACGATTTATTTTTGTGTATTTAGTTTTTTATTTAATCCCAGTATGACTTATTAGAATTCTACAACACATTCAACATAATAAAACTAAAAAATATATATTCTATAAATACATCCAGGTCAGGCACAATATAAGCCGCGTAAACTCAGCGAAAAAGAACGCGACCCGATAGAGGCACACAGAGGCGAAACAATTCTAGCTTGGAAAGTTCGAATTGCCTACTTATTAGCAGCGACGATTTAAGATCATGTGACGCGACGGCCGACGACGGGGTACGCATTCTCGATCGCAGCTTTGAGGCGTGGTTGAGGCGCGATATTTGGCGCTTGGCTGTGTTTTCATTGGTGGTTTAAATCATCTGACTATTGAAAAATGCGACAAAAGTTTTTTTCGTTTTCCTATTATTACCGATTCTGAACCGTCCTAGAACTGTGATGCGTATACGCAGAAGGAAATATGAAGACATTATTTCATTTGCGCATGCGCTACGGAGTTCTAGGACGGTTCAGAATCGGTAATAACAGGAAAACGAAAAAAGCTAAAGTCTCAATCTCGTATGCATGACTCAGGAAGTTAAAGTGCCGATAGCTGTGGCCGGTTGTGGTGGGAACAGCGTGGGTAAATTAATTAGCGTATATTTTAGTTTTTATTTAGACATTTAGGGGCGAGAATTATTTAGATTGTTTGTGTTTATAAATTTAAATTATTTGATGGCAATTAGATATAGTATTTTTAACTCGATTATGCACAGGTAAGGTGGCATTTTAGCAGTTTTTAAAATTCAACGCCACAAATACTGTTGAAATTTGAAGGTTAGGCTTTTTGAAGGTCCTTCGCCGGTAAGATTTATTTTATTTATTTTAAAGTGCCGAAGAGGAGTTGAATTTTAGTGTTTTCTTTAAAATGAATCCTATTTATAACGTTATTCTTTATAAACTTGAAACTCATTTTCTAAGACAAAATGAAACTGAAAAAAGACAAATAAATATTAAGGGGTCAAAAATTTTCGCAATATTTAACGATAAGAGGCAAGGTATTAAGCCTGGTTATTTAAAGTATAAGGTATTTAAAAACTTTTTAAATATTTTTGCGTACCAAACTTAATAGGTTTGGTACCATTAAAAAACGATAACGCGTCCCAGAATAATACTTCATAGGTGAGAAAATTTAATCGTATTTAAAAAAATATATTAACGAGCCGCCACTGCGTATGCACAGGGTTGGCATGATATATATCAATGATATATATCGGATATATATACCTTGATATATATCATGATATTTACAAAAAAAATAAAACTCAACTCTTTTCTTAAATTTCTACGTTAAAAAGTCAACATGTTTACGGAACAACGTATTTTTATTACTCGAAACTGCGTAATAGGCTTGGGAACGAAAAAGCTGGAAAATTAACCTTTCTATTTAAATACAACAATCAGAAAGAAAAAAACAAAAAAGATAATATTGATTGGATCTGGGACAATTCAAATGTACCAAAAACTTTGCCAGAAACAGTATCAATTATTGATTCTGACTCTGACATCTGACTTGATGATTTACCAATAATAAAATTAATAAATCACATATAAATTTGTTTGTTGTTAGTTTTAGAATATCTGTTTATTTTCTTTTTGAATTTCCGTTTATTTTTTAGAATTTCTGTTTATTTTTTAGAATTCCTGTTTATTTTTTAGAAGTTCTGTTTATTTTTTTAGAATTTCTGTATATCTTTTATATATTGTTGTTTTAATGTTGTTCCTATTCTGTGCAAAGCAACAATAATTAAGTTGAAATAAAAATATTTGCTTGAGCTCTTAATTTTACTTGATACTAAACGCAGTTTTACATAAAAAATAAAAACAAAAATAAATATCAAAACTTGATATATATCGGATATATGTCAGATATATATCGGATATATATCCGATATTTGATATTTATATAAATATCATAATATTTGCCAACCCTGCGTATGCACAGCAAGTTTGAACAAATTTTAGAAATGCGCAAACTCTGAAAAGCGAGTTAAAGTTTGAACATTTTTATTACCAAGTTCTTGGTAATAAAACTTCATAAAGGCTTTATTACTATGTTCACTTTCTAAAAGTTGACACAAAAACTTATCAAAAACTATTATTGAAATGGTTATTTAAAAATGACTGAATACTTTTTTCCAGACGCGTTAAAAACAATCTTTTAAAGATATATTTGTATATGGAAATTTTTTCAATTTTAATATTAATTTCTGACAAACTTTTATGACCATTTTTAATAAATAATGACATATTTAAATCAGCCAGGTTTCTGTTGATTACTGATATACGGGGTCCGGAAAAATTGAGAATTTTGTTTAAGTGCAAACCTAAAGTATGTACGTGGATGTATGTATTTCAGGAAAATGTTTTAACTCCTATAGGGTGGCTCAAAAAAGTGATCGTGGAAGAGGTTTTTTTTTTCAATAATGGAATACCCCGTATATTATTGGATTTTTAGCTTACTTTCAGATCCCTTTACAGAATCCTAAGATATGAGTAAATATATTTCGATAGTTTCAGAGATATTAATTAATAAACAAAAAATCTAAATTTTTCAGCCTTTCTTAAAAAAAATCTTAAAAATACAAGAACTGTCCTGAAATCAAAACTATAATAGGTATTTACTTTAGATGGTCTGCACTTACTTTGCTATAAATATGGCAATCGTAAATCATACAGGATGCTCAAAATTCTACGCCAAACTTTCTATAATATAAAATAATTTTTCTTCCTTTTTTCAAATGGAACACCCTGTATATTATTTTTTCAATAGATGGAGAATTGAAAAATGAACATTTTTTGTATTTAGAGTATTTCAAAATGTTTAGTGGTTTCGCAGATATTCGCGGTTTTATATTTCATATGGTATTTTCCAGAGTAAATTTTTATCAAAGCCACCCAATGATTTTTCTCTCCTATTTTACCGATTAATAATACAACGTGTATCTGCAAAACTATTAAAAATTTTGAAATACTTTAAATACAAAAATACAGGGTGTTCCATTTGAAAAAAATGAAGAAACATTATTTTATATTTTAGAAAGTTTGGCGTAGAATTTTGAACACCCTGTATGATTTAAGATTCTGATATTTATAGCGAAGTAAGTATAGACCATATAAAGTAAATTTTTAATATACTTTTGATTTTGTGACAGTTATTGTATTTATAATTGTTTTAGTGAAGGTTGAAAAATATATGTTTTTTATTTATTTATTAATATCTCTAAAACTATCGAAATATATTTAATCATATCTTAGGATTATATAAAGTGATCAGAAATGAAGCGAAAAATGCAATAATATACAGGGTGTTCTATTAAAAAAAAATCATCGCCATCCACACACACTCTTTTGAGCCACCCTATATAAGTTAAAATATTTTCCTGAAATACATCCTCATACATACTTTAAGTTTTACATAAACAAAATTCCCAAGTTTTTTATTCTAGGAACTACAGATGCCCGACGCACTATTGCCGGACCCTGTATAAATTTAAAAAATAAAAAAAAACATTTAAAATGAACGACACATCTCTCTGTTTATGTTTCTCAGATTATTAAATTCTCAAGTTAGTAAAGTAAATAACAAACTAAATAAAATCTTAAATATTTTTCTAAACAAATTAAAAAAAAAACTCTAACCATATTTACTTCAGATCGATATCTTCCGTCATCTTTCTCTTCCGAGCCTTGGCAGCACTCTTTAGGGGATTACTAAGCAGATTGTCAAAGAACAAGGTTAGGTATTCCGATTTCGAATCGTTTTTGCTCGAGGTACAAGCTTCCAGATTGGGTTCAGAAGGCCCGGCATCGTACGTTTGCTCTTTTTTCTCGAAATTCTCCAAATTCGGTATGTTCAGCTCCACGTTCTGTACGCTTTTCTCCTTGGAGCTCCGCTGAAAGTACTTTTGATGATCCGGAACAGCGCTAGGGCTTCGATTCCTCTTCAAAGGAATCTCAGTTGCGTTCGAGCCCTTACGCTTTCTATCGAAGTCCAGCGTGTAGCTTTTGGGCAGGATATGAGCCACTCTCGGTTTGATGTTCGTTTTAAAAGTGGGGCTCTTGAACGAACCGGTCTGGATAGGAGTGGACGTGAGACTGGGAGAACTGAGAAGGGAACCGCTGCTCGAAGAGGCTTTGAGAAGGATTTCGTCTCTGGCTCGAATCAGTTCCGTGGTCAGGTCTTTGTACTTCTGGTCCCAGTCGTCGACGTGCTTCTTGATTTCGTTCAGGGCCGATTCCTGTTCCATTATTTTCTGGTTCTGTTCCTGGATTTTCCGTTCTTGCTCGTGGATTTTGCTCGATTGGATGCGTAGGATATTTTTCTGTTTGCGCATCTGCAAAAATAATTTTTTTTTATGTGTGTCATGCCAAAAAATGGGATCAACATTGGAACTGCGTGAAATACAGTGCGAACTTATATCGATAGTGCGAACTTCCGATTTTTGCCGATTGAGCGCTGCGGTCGGCATTTTTAAAATCAACTTAAATGCAAATAGTCTACACAGGGTGCTACAAATTCGAGGCACGAGCATTGGTATCTCGGTAACCGTAATAGATACGAACATGGTTAAATTGGAGCAAAGTTGCGTATTAACGATGTTTACCAAGCTGTCATTAAATTTTTTTTTAAATTTCAAGGATTGCTGAGTTTTTTGGAAAAAACTGGTTTTTTTTAATCAATTTTATTTTTTCCTGTCGTTACTTTTTAGAATATCAAAAAGTTAAGTGCACATTCTCATAGCTACTTTATTAGGGCTATCTGATAGTATTTTTAGACTTTCAAATTAGCTGATAATTTGTGAGATACAGAGAGGCCAACTTATTTTTTAAATACGGACCTGCATTTTTTATTTGAGGTTTTGAAAGAACTCAATATCCTGTATACAATGATATGCCACACTTTATACTTTTTTGTTTGTTTTGGGTACCTTAACAGCAACAAAACTATAATTATTATTTAAAATAATTTCAAGTCCAACTCTGGTTTCTTAAATTATTTAATCTGATTATATTCATCGCAACAATATCGATTAGCGCTAATTAACATTGAATAAGGAAAATCGAGCCAATTGGAAGATTCAAATAAATAATATCCAGGTCAGAATTTATATCTTCAAATTTCTGTATTAGTATTCTGTAATTAGTATATTTTTATCTTTTTATTGTGAATTTGAAATCTTAGTGTGCGATCTAATAATATGCACAATATTAATCGTAGTTATTATAAATAAATCAATTTCTACAAACTAGTTTCTAATAAATGTTCTACATGTTTGAAAAGGTTACCACCCTCCCTATTGCACTAATTTATTTTTCGTTCAATTTTATTTATAGCTCTTTGAACTTTCTTCTTATACTTCCGAATGCATTTTGTACTTTTCATTGTAAATGTTGAGATGAATTGATTTCACTTTTACAAATGATGTTAAGTAATGTAGCTCCTTGGCGATATCTTCCGGGAAAATTATTTGATTGTTTATATTATATTATATTAATTATTTTATATTATTTTATTGCATTTGATTTTCCGTATTAACTGTTTTACCCCACGTCATTGTTAAATTTGAAAGCTTATCAATATTGTAACGATGAATAGATTAAATATTTAAAAAAACAGAGCCGGACTTGAAATTAGTTTAAATAAATTGTGTTCAAATGTCAAAACAAAAAAAATATTAAGTGTTGCACATCACTGTACTCAGAAGACCGAGTTTTTTCAAAATCTGAAATAAAAATGCAGGTCCGTATTTAAAAAAATTAAGCCTCTGTATCTCACAAATTATCAGCTAATCAGCCCTAATAAAGTGGCTAAGAGAATGTGCAATTAGTTGACAGGAAGAAATAAAATTGATTTTCAAAAAAATTAGTTTTTTCCAAAAAACTCAGCAATCCTCGAAATTTTTAAAACTTTTTTGATGGAATCTTGGTGAACATCCCAAGGCGCAACTTTGCCCCAATTTAACCATCTTCGTATCTATTACGGTTTCCGAGATACCAATGCTCGTAGCTCGAATTTGTAGCACCCTGTGTAGACTATTTGCATTTAAGTTGATTTTAAAAATGCCGACCGCAGCGCTCAATCGGCAAAAATCGGAAGTTCGCACTATCGATATAAGTTCGCACTGTATTTCACGCAGTTCCAATGTTGATCCCATTTTTTGGCATGACACACATAAAAAACGCCTTTTGTATTTATAATGAGGGTCTGGTGCTATCAAGCATTGAGAAGTATACTTAACAATTTATATTTACCTTGAGACATAATTTCTGGGTATTTTGCGTCAAATAACCGATGTGGTGCTTATGGCTCTTGGTCAGTTTCTTCACCTTGTACAACTCGTTGCTGATGGCGTGAGGAAATTGCTGATGAAACAATAATCTTGTTGATTTCGATGTAGACACTACATCCCTATACAAAACATCTGCAAAGGTTTAAAAGACTTTGGTTTAAAAAACATTTTGTAATATTAAATGCTATTTTGTTTTGTCTCAAACTTACCTGTTTGCTGCTCAATTTGCTGCTTGCATCTCGGTAAAATTTGCTCATCAAAATGTTCCATGGCCATGCTGCTCAGATCCCTAAGCTCTTGCAATAGCTGATGCGTTCTTGGCGGAGATCTGTCATTCTCTACCAGATCCAAGATGCTCTTTATCTCATCCAAAACCTAACAAATTTATATTGTAATATTTTCTGACGTGTTCAATGAGTATGCAAGTATACTTTTCCCGGGATAAAGCATATCAGTTTGCTTTCGATGTAGCGCATGTAGGTCATGTTCAGCATGCTAAGTCTGGTCTCGACTCCCTGCAAGATGTCGCTGTGTCTTGCCAGAGGGTGAGTTTTTCGTTCAGACTCGCGTCGGGGTAGGGCCGATTTGACCCTCTTGTAAATCGTGGCATGGCGTTTTTCCAGTTGGATAAAGCCTCTGGATAGTAACTTACCGCCAATCTCGTTGAATTTTCTACAAACCTGGAAGTTCAATGACCTAAATTTAATACTACAATATTAAATAATTGAAGATAACCCATCGTATTTATTTCCTGATGATTTAAACAATTGCGCATTGGGATAGTTATATCTTTAGATCCTATAAAATTCGTGAATAGAGCATGCAGTGATAAGCAAATGCAAGACTAAGCCATTGGTCTTGGTCTTGGTCTTGCAGTTAATAATTAGTCTTGGTATTGCTGCAAGCCGCTTGCAAGTCTTGCATTTTTTAATAGATTTTTACTAGAGACGTTTTCTACATATAAAATCTTTAAATAAATATTAGAATATTTGCCTGACAATTTTATTTTTCAATATTTTTTTTGCATGGTTGGCCTTTCGGAAGGTCGACCTATGCCAGGATCTTGGTCTTGCAGATCAAACGCTAGTCTTGGTCTTGCTTTTTGTACAAGATCAAGAGCACCCTCGCTGATCACTAAGAGCATGCACTAAATTATTACAGAAAACTTATTTCTACAGGATCCGGCAATAGTGCGTCAGGCATCTGTAGCTCCTAATATACAGGGTGGTCCGAACTGTATTCCGGAAACTTCGGCAGCATATTCTACAGATAAAAATAAGTAAAAAAGTTCGTATAAATGTATGTCCTAAAATGGTTTCGGAGATACAGGGTGTAGAAGTTTCATTTTTATTTCGATTTTTTCCAAATAATTTATGAAGTAACGTCAATATTTGAATAAAAATTGGTGTCTGGGAGTTTTTTGACATGATAAATTTGATTTTGATGTCAATACGACTCTTACTTGTAGAGGGCGCAACCTACATATTTTTTAACTGGTTTGAAGAGTAACAACTTTTATACAAATAACACTCCCTACAAATAGGAGTCATATTGACATTAAAATCAAATTTCTCATGTCAAAAAACTCCCAGACACCAATTTTCATCGAAATATTGACGTTACTTCAGAAATTATTGAGCCACCCTACAGAAGTTAAAATATTTCCTGAAATACATCCCAATACATACTTTATTGCTCGTATACAAAATTCCTTATTCCTTTTTCCTTATAAAAAGTTTTTTACTATAGGAGCTAGAGATGCCCGACGCACTATTACCCTGAGTGGACCCTGTAGTGTGAGTGCGACATTTTTTTACTTATTTCTTTCTAAAATGTACCCTCTTTTCGCATTTTTGGCCTACTCTGTAGGTTGTTTGACATGCAGTCATACTAAGAACGCTGATATGGTTATCCGACATGCATCTGCCGGAAGAGCATAAAACCACTAAGCATGTTTACATTCTTTCAGGAATTTAATAGTGGGCCATCTCTTAAGGTGCGTACACACCGGCTGCGCCGCGCCTCGCAAATCATTTTTTTAACATGTACTTTTGTGCGCGCTAAAAAAAATACACATCAAAAGTACATGTTACCGGAGCGGCGCAGCCGGTGTGAACGCACCTTTAGACTTTCATGGAAAATCCCAAGCCAGACAACAGAAATTGCTAGAGGTTAAAATAATTCGACAGAATTCTAGAATAGAATTTATGGAAAATCCCAAGCCAGACAACAGAAATTGCTAGAGGTTAAAATAATTCGACAGAATTCTAGAATAGAATTTATTAAGATCCGCAGAGATATATAAGTTGCACTCCGCGCTCTACAGTTAATTTTTGAGTAGCGTTCTGTAAATAGCGAATTGTGACAAATTGGCGAAGAATTTTTAAATAGTTAGTTGTGGTTATATTTAATTAGTGTTAATTGTGTAAAGTAAAAATAAATTGTAGTAAGTATTGTGTCGTGTGTTTTGAATAGTGGACCCACGGAATCCGTAACAATATTTCCCTTTGGATAGGACTTCTATTAAGAAACAAATCCCATATGTTGCATACTTATAGTGAACCACACTGTATATTTAAAGCAATATTTTTTTTGTATTAAAATTATATTCAATATAATTTACAAATTTTTGTTAGAATTATTAGATTTATATTTTCTTATGTGTACCAAGAAAAAAAAACGCTTTACCACCGTTCACAACTTATTAAAAAAAAACAGAAATAAAAGACCACTAAAATTTATTTAATAAATAATTTTTACATTTAACTTTAAAATCAAAGAAAAAATAATATAAAGTTAAAATATATTTCTTACATTAAAAAAATAAAGGATATTATTAAATAACATAAAATGCTTAACAAATAAAATAAATTTAAAACTTAACACAGATAAAGTTTAGTCGTCGGGTACAAGTAAATCTAGATTAGCCTCTTTCGACACGGAATTTACAAATTTTTGTTCGTCGCCCCGCACAGAAAGTTTATGCTGGACTTGTACAATTTTTTCCTTCATCATGCCGGTCTTCTCCCATTTCGTACTGCCGCAATTGGTGCAAGGTCTCGTGGGAACCAACTCCAACGTCACCGTTCGGTTTTGGCAATTGGAGCATTTGTAGAACCGTTTCATCGCATCAAATACCTTAAATTAAGTAATTAATAAAATATGGTTTTTGGATAAAAAACTGTATATTCCTAAGTGCCATACGGTCAAGAGAAAAAAACGGCGTCAAAGACGGCTGGGGAATCCCTATACGTCATTTACTGAGCCCGTACCAGTGGCTTAACCATGAGGTCAAATCGACGCAATATTTTTTGATATCGACCTCCCTATTCTCCCTACAACAATGACCACGAGCCGCCACTGGTCCGTACTCCTCTTTATTTTTTAATGGCTCTTACTGCCAATTGGCCTTAAGGAGGTGATAATTTATTTTTATACTGAGTAAAAATTATATGTAAATAGTGTAGTTTAAAATTCGAGAAAAAATATTTTTTTGGGAAAAGATTTGTGTGTCTGGAAACGTTCTATCCTCTTATATTTTTTCTTTTTGACAAATTTTATGTCAATTTTATTTTAGTTGTCTTCTAGAGATTGACCTCGCCAAAATTATCATCCAGTCATTCACCAGCCGTCTTTGACGTCATTTTTTTTCATCATACTGTATAATTATAATGGTCAGAATTAAAATGGATAAAGTCCAATTTTCTACTATTTTAAGATAATCGTCTTTATCCGTTTATAGAATATTGTATTATCCAGAAAGAAATGATTCCAGTCATACTTTTCGCATTAAGCAGCTATAGTCTGTTTATCCAACTTGTTTCATTGTAATTAAGTAACATTAAAAAACTTTAACTCTCATTTTCTCCATTTAGGACTTGATTCACTTCACTTCTGAACCCCTCAATTATTAAATCTGCCATTTTTGATTCATTTTTTTTCTATTTTGTCAACTCCCGCCTATATGTGGACTTTTGTAATTTTTGGAATATAATCTATGTATAGTTTATCAAAATTAACATTTTTGTTTCTAAAATAAATTAAGTATAAAACTTAATAAAATATTAATATTAAATAATCCTGTCCTGGTAAATCGAATAACGTAGGATATTTACGAGGATGCTCTGAAAAGTTACCGACATCATGATACCGGGTATTTTTCAAAAGTGGCTCACCACTATAACTTTTTTTTTAATTTTTTCTAATATAAGAAAGATATTTGGTATGTTAATTTTGGATTCGATTTTCTGGCTGAACCGTAGGTCCCACAGAAAATTTTGTGGAACAAAAAATGAAGAGCATTTCATTTCTAACTAACAAACCTCTAAAACCTACGAGGACAAAGTTAGAGGGCGCCAAAGTAACCCAAACGCAGTTTTTTGCATTTTTCCGGGTGAAACCATTTTTTTACGCGTAGCAAAGTTTTTAAAAGTAAAGAGCATAAAAAACCTATCAAACTGATGTGTAACTTTTTTTTACGTTGAACTGTTTACGAGATATATTGCATTCATTGTCACAATGTGTATGCAACTTTCATGAAGTCAATTACGGTAGATAGGGTACTGCAAGTTCCAACCTTCGCGGATTACGATGTTCACTCGAACAGAGGATCGTTATAACATTCTCTGATCGTTTTGAATTTTTTTTAGATTCGCTGAAGCTTTGGCTGAAGGTAGCGTTTTTGGGAAAGTCAAAACATTTTTTGGATTCTATATTCTGGCCTGTTTATTAACTTAAAAAAGTTACATATCAATTTGGTAGGTTTTTTATGCTCTTACTACTTACTTTTTAAAAACTTTGCGACAGTAAAAAAAAATGGTTTCACCAGCAAAAATGCAAAAGACTGCATTTGGGTGACTTTGGCGCCCTCTAACTTTGTCCCCGTAGGTTTTAAAGGTTTGTTACTTAGAGATGAAAATGTAGAGTATTTAATTCTCTTCATTTTTTGTTCCATAAAATTTTCTGTGGGACCTACGGTTCAGCCAGAAAATCGAATCCCAATTTTTTTTTGAATTTCTTAAAATCGGTGGGTGGGAGATACGAATTTTCGAATTTAAACTTTTCCAGTGGACCACTTACGACTGGCAAAGTATGGGAGCGGGGGTAATTTAATAGGCGTTAAAGTGCCAGATTGACTGTACTACTTGGGTAGTGACTAGATTTTGAGTCAACGTGAAGGATCAATCAATGATGGACGCAGGTGAGGCGGCAAAAAAATAGTATACATTTTTCAAATACTAATAGTATTTTTCTTCAGTTAAAAAAACAAAACTGAAAACTTAAAAAATATAATGAAAACTATAAAATATTCACTCTGTCAAAAAACTCGCATAGTTCTCATAGGAATGAATCTTTTTTTAAGAACAGATTATCACGTCTGATTATTTTACTCTTGGGCATTTATCAAATTTAGCATTTAAAATCTTGAAGTTGCATAAACGTGAATTCACAGCGTGAATTGTATTCAGCAGGTAACAAGATAGAACAATATTGAACCAAAAAAGTGACTTCAGAACAACCTTAGTTATATTTTACAATCACATAGGTATATTAAATAACTTACCTTCAAAGGATGGCGCTCAGTTTTACACAGATCCGAAGCAGAAAAGCTGGTATATTTACATGTCAAACATTTCACAGCTTTACACTTCACTTTATGAGTATTCGCCATCTTCTCTTCCATCTTTTCTCTAGCTTCCTGCTTATTAAAATACTTTTCCTTTTCTTCCTCGTCATGCTGTTCGATTAATTCTGTATGCCTCGAAGTTTGCGCCATCATCTTTTTAAACCTATCAGATATAAATTCACTTTCTTGTAATTTAGACTTTTTTGCAGGATTCCCAATTACGATTTCATTGTCATTTGTGTTAATTGGTCGTTTTTTAATGCCAGGACCTTTAGTACTGTTTGGATCGATTTTTTTAATTGGGCCATTTTTTTCAATAAACTTTATTGCATTTAGTTTTGCTCTGTCTACGTGTCTAGATGTAACAGGCTTGTTCAAATCAATAACACCGTTCTTCTCAAACAACGACAGTTTTGGAATACCCATATTTAATGCTACACCTTTCAGATTTAATTTGGTAGAGTTATTTTCTAAATTTACATTTGGTTTTAATGGGATCTCTTTCATTTCAGATAATTTAGCAGTGTTACTAGCAATCTTTTTACTCTCTGAAAGTGATTTGGTACTGACTTCTTTACTTTGACGTGCCTTTTCATTATTTAAAGTTATAGATTTATTAATAGTTAATTCCTCTTCAAAATCACCATAATTAAGATCCCCAAATTCCTCATCAAAATTGTCTGGAAAACTCACTTTATCTTCTATTTTTTTCTCAGTTAGCTCAGGTCTTTTTTTTGATTTAGTAGCCAAATCTAAAGCAGCTTTTTTACTTTGATCTAAAGAAACTGTATTAGACATTTTTTCTGAAAATTCAGTTTTATTATCGACATTCCTAAATAAATCTCCTTTTAAGTCATATTTTGAATTACTTTTTTCTTCAGAAACATTACTGTTTTGTTTAGATTTGAGCTTATTGATTACATCGATTGCTATTGCTTTAGAGTCTGATAAAGACACTTCGCTTGATCTATTGCCTAAAAAAGTTGATTTACTTTCCAAGTCTGATGTACCTCCTAACTTTTTTAATAATTCCAAATCCCTAGCTCTTTGTGCTGGATTGATGACAAGCTGGCTAGCCATTCCTTTTTTAGATATTTTAGTACTTTGTTTTTTCAGTTTCTCTTCCTTTTGAGTACCATTAGTCAAGGCTTCCATAATTCTGGAATCTTTTGCCTGTAATTTTCTACTCTTCTGTGCTGGTATGGCCATGTAAGATTTCCCAGCATAAAAAACTTCGCTCTTCCCCAAAACCTTGTTTCGTAAATTTGTTAACCCTTTACCAACAAAACTAGACTGTAATTCGGATCTTTTACTGCATTTTTGGTATTCCTGTTTGATATGATACAAACAAAATTCACAGTTACTTAAATTTACTATTGCGGTACATTTCTCCCCATTCTTTTTCATACTTTTACAGAGTCCAAAGTCTTTAGATTGTCCAAAAATCATAACTCTCTGAGATGTGTCTACATTTAAAGATGCTATATCTTTTGAGCCCTCTTTTCTATCCATTATATTTGGATTAAGTACCCCTATAACAGTACCGATAAGAGTCTTCCATAAATCAGTGTGTGCTCCACTAAACATGAACAATGCCACAGTTTTAATATCATCCTTTAAATCGGATATAGTCCAAATAGAAAATTGTGAACCGTTCTTTGAAGTTTTTGGAGGAGATTTGCTTACCAAAACTCCACATATTACCCAATCTTTATCTTTTAGATAATCGGTTGTGACAAATCGAACCAAATCTGAAAATTTCACAGCACATCTCCCTTGCATCTTTTCAATCAGAGTTGCAGATGAAATTAGTGGATTTACAATTCGCATCCCAAAAATTGGGTCATAAAACACATCCTTGTGAGCTTTTACTGGTTCAATACTTTTCTTCATTTTTATTGCTGTGGAATTTGCACTATTATTTTGGATCTTAACTTCAGATGTACAAGTAGATATCCTCTTTTTTGGAATACCATAGTGGCTACTAGATATAGAATTGGAGTTATTACATGGGGTAGTATTGATAATTCTTTTTATTTCTCTACCATATTCACTATATTTTTGATTTTCATAATCTCTGTTTCCTTCGTCATCTGAAGAATCCGTATCACCACTGTGAACCACACTTTTGAGATCATCTCGTTTAGAAGTGTTTGTCCTACTGGCAGTATTACTTTCTGACTGAAATATATCAGTTTCTTTTATTATTCGGGCTGGAGTTTTAACTTCGGGTAATTTATTTTCTTCATTTTTACTTATTGAAGTGGTGTCCTCTATTTTTTCCAGCTCTTCAGCAGCTACAGCTAATAAAGATTCTAGTAGATCATCCTCTTGGTCCATTATAAATATTCATAAATATATTTAAATAAACCTAACTTTTATCCTTCCTAATCAAACCAAATCCAAAACACAGATCCAAAACATAAAACATATCCTAAATAAATAATTCCCGCCAATTTACCCAGTGACAATTTAATAATAAATGCAGTTATATCTAATCTGTGGTGAATGGCAAACACAAGAACTTCTCATGTTTGCCAACATGCCAACAAAAAAATACTATGAAAATTTTGAGTGAAAATGTAATAATTATCCTTTTTGAATAAAGAGAAATACTAAATATACTTTATATCTACAAATATACCAAACTGTCGAACAAAAACTATCTAAGAATTTTCAAAAATGTACTTACAATTCTATTTTTCGCAATTTCGTCGTAGTTTAAAAAGGAAAAGATATTTTCCAAAGCTACTTCTGGAAGCAATAGAATATATGACATTGGGCTCTGATACATTGTTGTCCTCCCGTGTAACTATTATTATAGCAAAAAAACACTATTCTAGAACCTCTTATGCCCGAATATCTTTCGATTAACCTTTTAATAAACAAAATATATGTTTTCAAAACTCAAAACCACAACAAAAATATCTAAAAAGAAGCATCGCAAGATGGCCGATTAATAAACAAAACAGATGACAATGACAGAATTCGAACTGAAGTTTGCTATGCATATATCTTCTTTTTTTAATTACAGGCCTAAATCTCTCCACAAAATGTATAAAGCGGAATTTAAATCCTCTTTTGCTGCTAGGGCCAATCTGGACAGAACTTTGCGGAATCCTAACCGCAATCCTCGGCCATAGCATCCAATCTTGTCCTATTTCGCTATATCTCTGGTTGAGGATTATTCTACGTATTCTATGGTTACTCTTTGTATATGATGGAGGAGGTTAGGGGCACATGAGGGGCACAGACCTGGTTAGGGGATCAAAGAGATAAGCGGACAAGCAAGCAGCAGTTATTTTTAAATTGAATTTCTTTTGAGAACAATATACAGCACTTAAGATGAAAAGAGATCAAATTATTGCAATCCTAAATTTATCTTTTTTGGTTTATTAACTCTAAAACCAAGTGCTAGTTACTAAAACAAATTTACTTTTTTAACATTTTATTTTCAAAATAGTATATTATATATTTTTTTATTACATTTAAATTACAAAATATGTTCTGTAATAAATTATACCCTGCCAAGAAATATTCTCATAAAAGTATTGCCGCTATTCAGTAAAAGGTATAAAAGCTGGCAGACTGCCTAGTTTAGGCCTAGCCAGTAATTCAAGATTTTTACTTCCATTTTCTTGCTCGATTTCATATTCTGCTTTATCGTTTTTATAGTATCTTAGTCTCTCGTCAATTTTGTCTAATTTTTCATTTACAACTTTTCTCTGTTCAGTTTGATCTACTTTGTTCTTATCGGAATAGTTCTTGGCAAATTTACTTTTATGAATTAAATAACTTCTTACCATCTTTCCATGAGGATAGGGACATCTTTGCTTGGTACATTTTCCATGTTTTTCATATTCCGGACATAAATATTGGTGTCTTCTGTCACACTATAACAAAGAAATACAGGGAAGAAAAATTATGTAAAAAATAAAAGAAATATATGTAGCATACTTCGGCAGCTTTTCTACAAAAACCTTCCAAGAAATCACGGCAAATATCTGCGTTTTTATTTAACTTGACATGAAGGTAGGAGCAGGTTTCTTTAATACAGGAGCCTTCTAAAAAGAATTTACATGTAGGCATCTTTTCTGGAGATACCTTGTGGGATAGTAAGCATTTCTCTTTTATGCAGGCCCCTTGTAAAAACCTAAAAATATTAATGAATAATGGACAATATACCTGATTATAAATAGGTACTTAGTGCATAAAGCTATTTGATCGGGATCATGTTTTCTAAAGCATTTTCCATTTTCCTTTCCTCTACAAACTCCATATTTTCTGTAGTATGGGCAAGGAATGTTACATATCTTCAGTTTCTTAGAGAATAACTTGACTGATCCAATTTTTAATGGACTCAGCATCTTTCTATAACTCAACAAATTATACTTAAAAACCTACTTGATTTTTAAACTTTTTACCTTATCTTGATGATATTTCTATTCACTGACTCTACATCTTTGCTTCTCTTCACTAGCTTGTATTTAGACTTTGTAATTTCAGGAGAAACTTTCTTTGTTGGTGTACTTGAGACATATGCCCTCCTTAACGAGTTCTTGGATTTCTTATACATAACATTATTTATTCTCACTATACTTAAACTTTTTTGTGAGGTTTTGCTTGGTGTTTTTTTAACAATGCTACCTTTTAACAAATCGGTCAAGCAAAGAAGTTTATTTTTGAAAATGTATTTTCTTCTATCTCTCGGTTCTATATCTATCGATTTTCTTTTTCTGTGATCCACTTTAAATCTAGAAATAGTATCTAATTGACTTTTCCTGATAGGTTGACATGTGGTCTTATTATCTGTTTTTACATCTTTCTGTTCAATTCTTGGATCAGATTTTTTAAGTAACTCATACTTTTCCTTTTTATTCCAAATAGATTTCTTCTTCACTGGAGTGTTAAGTGTCCTTAATGAATTTGGAGATTTCTTATACATAATACCATTTATTTTAACTAAACTTAGATGTTTTTGAGATAATCTGATTGGATTACTCTTCGTAGTTCTTTTAACGTTCATCTTAATGTATTTTTTCTCATTTTTCAACTCTATTGTTATAGATTTCCGCCTCCTATGATCAACTTTATACTTTGAAGAATTATCTTTGATGTGTTTATATGGAGATTGGCAATTGCTTTTGACAATTTTAAATTTTGATTTTACAGAATTTCTTCTCTTTATTACTTTACTTTGTTCAGCTACCGGTACTAACTCGTTATTTTTAAAACTGGAAGTCTTGGTTGATAATGACAAACTTTCCTCTTCACTTTTATTCACATTATCAAATGCATTAGATATATTTGGACTGGGAACAACACATTTAAAATTAGGATTTATATGAACATTTTGAGGCAATTTTATATTTGCCATTTTTGGATTAATATGGATTTTCGTGTTTCTTGGCACATTATTACAATTTGCTTGACTAGACTTATTTTGCATATGGTAGCTATCACAGATCATTGCAATACGTGGATTTATATGAATTGTTTTAGTTTGACCAACGTTCCGATGGAAGTTTGGATTTACATATACCTTACTTGTTTTTGGATAATCATTTTGCAACGAATCATGGCTGTTTAAATTCGAAACGTAATTGGAGTTTTCCCAAGGACTCACATTCACATTAGATTGGTAATCTAAAAAAATTGTTTTCATTATTGATTTTGATAAATAACTAAACTTACAATCCTCGTAATTCATTATGTATTATATAATAAAACAACATAGAACAATAAATATATACTGATCACTTTTTAAATAACACAAAAGAACACAATATTGTCACAATCCCGCCATAACATTTTCTATTTTCTGGAAAACACTTTTGAATGACGTAAATGACATTGACAAACTGTCATTTTTCTCAGATCATTTTCCAAACAAAAAAGAAAATTATTGCGTTGTTTGAACATATAGTTTCTCAGAAAAAAGGCCCACACTTTTATTGAATTTTGCGGACAACTCATATTTATATAAATAGTCAAACAAGCATTGCAAAAGTGTCTAATTTGACTATTAAACTCTATATCCTGTTGTCATTTATGTCAAAAACGCCAACTTCCGACAAGGGATCAGCGGCCATCTTTCCTTTTTTAATTTGGAATTAAACATGGTGAGTTGGTGGTGTTATAAAATGTATTTTTTCGAAAATAAAGACTCTGGTCTATTCAAAAATAGTTATATATGTAACATAAACATGTTTAGGGCTTCAAATACACATCAATGCTTGTTGTTTAAGTTTCAAATCCATTAAATTGTCTGTGTTGTATTCGTCCACATGTAGCAACTTCAAATTTGTCAAGCTTATTAATGTGTTCTTTTAATTTTTAGCCCTTTCAAAGGTTTGTAGAAACGGGCCGAGTGGCCGTTGTTTCCGACGGCCCTTACAAAGGAAAATTGGTCAGCATTGTTGATGTTATCGACCAAACTAGGGTAAGAATATTTTTGAGGTTATTTGTTTTATTAAAGTAGAAATTTACGTGATGAACCTCATTTATAGATAGGAATTGCCGACTGATACATATATGAAGCTCGTTTTATTCTGAATAAATTTATACACTTTTAGATTTATTATAGAATATAGAGTCAGTTTTTGATGTTAATATTATATTAGGTCTTAGTTGATGGTCCAGAAACGCAAGTTCCCAGAAGTCAACTGAGGCTAAACCAACTTGACTTGACGAAGTTTAGAATTAACTTTCCCTTTTCCGCATCCACCAAGGTGGTCAGAAAGTCATGGAAGGACAATAAAGTCCAAGAAAGCTGGGAGAAATCTGTATGGGCACAGAAAATTGCAGCAAAAGAAAAGGTAGTTGTTTTTTAGAATTTGTTATCATATTAGCTGCTTATAATTTAAATGATGAGCCTTACTAGATAGGAATTGCCGACTGACACATAAATGAAGCAATTTTTTTTCTGATAGCATAGATTCTTTTTAAAATATATTTACAGCCGTATTGAAATATTTACAATATATTTTTTTTATTACAGCGTGCCCAGTTAACAGATTTTGATCGTTTCAAATTGAGAAGAGCCAGATCACGCAGGAATAAGATAAGAACTGTATCTTTCCTTGCATTGAGAAAGGCTTCATCTAGAAACGGCTTTTTGTATGGTAAGAAAAAGATGGCTAAAGGAGGTGACAAACCTAGACCTAGCAAGAAAGCGGCAAAGAAACCTGCAAAAAAATAAGTATAAGTGACAAATAAATGTTTATTTAATAAAGTTTGTGTTTGTTTTCTAGAGACCTTTAAATAAAACAATGATTAATAACAAAAATCTTTATTTATACTATAACAAGACAATACATTGTGGTCAAAAATATTTATGATTAGTGGCTTCGAATTATGAGGAATTGCACTAAAATTTGGTTAAGTAAGTTAGCTTAATCATAAAGATTTTTGGTCTTTTAGAGATATGTACATTTATTTTGCTTAAAGCTAAGGAACTACTTTTTGGGGTAAATAAGGCTCCAATTTGAAGGTTCGTTATAACCTAATAATATTGGACAATGTAAAAGCAACGATAAATTTTCTTTATTGATTTCATTGGAAATTTTGATCCATTGTGACAACCATTTGACTAAATATTTTTCATCCACATTGGTTGGATTTAATCCTAGAAAGACAAAGGTAGTAAATTAATATTACTAAAAGACAATATAGGAAAAACCTCGAATGTAACAAGCAGTTTTTAAAGCTTCTGATGGTAAGTTATGTACACCGCCTTCGCGCATTATTGCTTTATCCATTTCTATTAAAATAAGTGCCCTGTCAGCCAATCTTGTCCTACGAAACCAACCAGGATGTATATTATGTATCTTCACCAAGTGTAACTAAAATATATGATTAATAATCTTTTTGTACTGTAAAAAATAAAAATAACTTACTATATGGTTTCTACTCAAATACAGCAAGTGATAAGGCTCGTCCATAAATAAATCTTTACAAGAAAGTATATCCTCAACAGTTGGTTGCACTCCACTTCCCAGCTGTCCAAGTACTTTTGACCAAGTCTCGTAAATACAACTATCTTTGTTGTGCTTGATAAAATTCAATTGTAGCTGCAAATGTCTTTAAAACTATTTACAAACATTGTTTTCACATGTTATGCTGAGTAAACTCACCTAAAAACAGGTTTATTATGTACAAGTCTGTCGTGCAAATATTCAGTTTTAAATTTAGCTCTTTGTTCGAGTGTCCAGAAGTGGGGTGTCAGAAGTTGTTTGGGAAAAGCATAAATCAAAGGCAATAACACATAAAAAGCGAATGGTAAAGTAGAGAAAATTAAAGTAGGTGCCACTTTAAACATATCCTTTGGCATCTGGTAGTATAACTCAATTTCTCTTCTTAGAAGCTTTGTATATGAACCAGCTGAGCTATTTAGCATTCTGAAATTATAATTTAATAAATAAATAGGGTACACTAAAAAACACAGTACTCACCGTACTATCTTAAAATACTCTCTCATCTCTGTAATAAAATCTTTTATACCCTCCATGAAAACTTTGTAAGTTTTCATGGTGGTAGGAAAATTTTTTTCAAGAATTTGGTCATAGTTCTTTAAAAAATCCACAAATCTATTTAAAATATAGAATCTAACTTTTTTGGCTTCTTCGGTTTTATAAACTGATTTTCTGTGTACTTCTCTGACTTGGTAGAATTTGTTACAGCTAAATCAATTAATATAAATCATTATATATTTATTAGAAATTCATTCATTTTGTTCTTACCTTGGATATATTAGTGGTGGTACAACTCTACTTAAACCTATTATTTTTTGAGATCTTAATACCAATGACAATGCCATGTTAATGTTGTTTTGGTAACAAATATCTATTTTAACCAGTATTAAACATCTTAACACAATGAAAAATCGACGTTTTTATCAAAATACAAAGTAAATTATTTATTATTAATTAATTTATAACCACTTTTTAGGGTTAGTATGTATATTTTCTTCCCTTCACGTCATTTTAAAGGCTTTAAGCCATATATTCTCTTCTTTTTATTATTGAAAACGCAAAGGGTTGGTGAATCATATATAAAATTGATTATGATTTTTTCTATACACTCTAAATTATATATGAAAAGTTTATTTGGTGTTCTGTGGTTCTACAGAAGACCAGACAAACAGAACAATATAGGTTGCAAATGCCACGTCTTACACAGACAAAAAGAGTAAAGGTGTGGATCCGGTGGCTGACCTTGAAGCTTATATTTCCTGCATTTGATCATCGATACTACGCAAGCGCACATCGTCGATGTTGCCAAATTGCAGTTTATTTTCGAATTATTTGCAGTTGAAAATTTTTTTTGGAGTGTTAATCAATAATAATAGAAATTCTATAATTAATTTTATAATTTCAGATTTATCTTGATATCCAAAATTAAGGTAAGAAGGATAATGAAGATTGTGAAATGAAAGTATTCTGAATATATAAAATTGTAATAATAAATAACATTTATTTATATATTTACATTAGAATTAAAAATTATCATGTACGGATTTTTTCTTAATGGTTTTAAACTTATTAGAATTATTTTATTTCTTTTAAGTTATTTAATTTCTAGTTATTTACAGGCAACAATAGTTTTGATTATATGTATTGATGTTTTGAAATACTACCATGACGAGTCTTATAGAACAATACACATCAATGGGAGATAGAGATAACATCTTACTTATAATGTTACTAATATAATATACTTTGATTATAATGTTTGTATCACAATTTCTTAAAAATATCAAGTTATTGGATTAATAGCAATTTTAGACATATATTTTATCGTAGAGTGTGTTGATATAAGACTAAAATAAGCTTTATGTTTTGTCTTTTTCTCTTTAGAAGGGAGACGGTTTGTGTCGTAGAATACATTAGAGTATTTAATATCGTATACTTTGATATTCTTTTCTTAATTTACTGTAATTTCTTGTTTCCTATAATACCAAATCTTGACAATATGGTGAAGGTTGAGTTTTGATCTTATTAGTTTTATACCTGTGTTTATACAAGACCAAATTAAGATTAGTTTGTAATTAGTTTGTGATTTATATTAAGATCTTCCTTATAATATTTGTTATGTCTTAATCTTAATACTATATTATGCTCTGTCTGGAAAATAAATGTTAAAATATCTTAATTTTGCATATCCTATTCCATCCTTCCATTAGGAAAAATATGGTTTATAAATCATATTATGCTAAGAAAATCACATAAATTAGGTGTAAGAATAGAGAAATCTTAAGGTAGCAGAAAAATTAATGCAATATATAAGCAGAATTAAACAAGGTAACTGTAAATGTTGCTGAAGCTGATTCTACAATTTTAATTACGGAGGCTAAAAGGTCTTTTAAGGCCTCCGTAGTTTTGATGGAATGTTAAAAAAAACTATTATGAACATGACATGGAGCTACAGCATTTAAAAATTAAAAAAAAAGAAAAAACTTGGACACATACCCTGAATTTTTAATAAAGCACTTTTTAAACGTAGCATAATAATCTAGAGCAATTAGATTAATTATAGGAATCTAGAATTTTATTTCTATTTAATTTTATTGACTATGAAAATACATAATAAGCGTTCATGTTTCACGTGTTGTGCGAAATATTAAAATAATAATATAAATGATATACCGCGCGTACTATGATGAAGATCGCTGCTATTTTATATGGGAAATGTCCTCAATGGTCATTTCCCAGCCAACTGGACGCCGTTTTTTCGATCATACTGTATATATTGACAAAAAAACACTGAAAAGCACATATTTGTTTTCTACTGAAAATAATTCCAAAATAACTTGCAATCTGGCAACATCAAAGATGTGCGCATGCGTAGTGTCTGTGACTATATGCAGCAAAAACTCGTTTCAAGGTCAGCCACCGGATCCACACCATTACCGACAAAAAGTGCTGGCTCAATGCCGTAAAGGCACGTGGTTATTATTTAAGAATATGAAGAAGAAAGTACGGGTCGTATTGTCCTGGTAGCTTAAGGCCGCTAAAAGGAAGGAATAGAGAAGAAGAAGAAATGCCATGACAATGCATGACAACTATGGAGGCTAGAAGGATGACAACAATGAAATGACAAGTCAAGGTTGAGCCAAAAAGTCAAATTGTGATTTTACTTTTATTTTTCTTAAAAAATAATTAGCTATAATCAGGTATGCCTTTTGGTACTCAATTAGAAAATCAAAATCCTACATTATACTCAAAATCTGCCGACAGGTTAGTTACGCAGGAAGAATACAACGACGATATAGCAGATGACTTTGATGAGAGAGAAATATTTGGTACCTCTTCTTTCAAATAGACTCTTCTAAAACTGTTTTATATAATTTTAAATATGTTCTAGATCTTATTCGAAATATAAACGATCCTGAACACCCTTTAACATTGGAAGAATTGCACGTCGTACGTCAGAATTTAATAAGTGTCGAGAACGACAAAAATAATGTTTTCATCAATTTTACACCAACTATTCCGCATTGTAGTATGGCTACATTGATCGGACTCTCCATAAGAGTTAAGCTGTTAAGGTGCCTTCCTCCTAGATTTAAAGTTAAGGTAAACAACCCCTGTATATATCTTGACAAAAAATTAATTTATAATTTGATAGGTGGAGGTAACTCCAGGAACACACAATGCTGAACACCAAGTAAACAAACAGTTAGCCGACAAAGAACGTGTAGCGGCAGCTTTAGAAAACAGTCACTTAATCAAAGTTATTAACCAGTGTATAGCACCAAGGAATAGGGCATAAAAATGGGACACAAAGAGCCTCTGTTGTTATCACAAAGTAATGTGAATTCAGCTTATCAAAAGTTTCGTCGATATTTTAGACGTGTGTTTAAATTTGAGCAAATGGACTTTCAATTTGCGTTTTGGCAGATGTTCTACTTATTAGCTGCCCCTCAAAAATTAACAAAGGTGTTTCGTGCCAGAAAGAATTTCAAGTCTCAGTTTGCTCGAGATGATCCAGCATTTTTAATATTGTTTGCTGCTGCTTTAATAATTACTTCAATCGGATTCTCATTGAGACTTAGTCATACGTTTGGACAATTCCTTGTGTTTTTAGTACTTGAAATTTTCTTAGATTGTATCGGTGTAGGTGTTATTATAGCCACCATATTATGGTATATTACTAATAAGTTTTTAAAACCAAAAAATTTACCGCAGGATGTTGAATGGGGCTTTGCCTTTGACATACATTTAAATGCTTATTTTCCACCATTAATGCTTCTTCACTTTGTTATGATATTGTTTTATAATTTTTTCGTAAGGGAAGGCAATTTTTTCAGTATATTTCTGGGCAATTCTGTGTGGCTCGCCGCTTCTATTTACTATGTGTACATAACATTTTTAGGATACCATTCGATGCAGATTTTGAGAAAAATTAACTTGTTTTTGATACCCATCCCTTTGTTAGTTATTGTCTACATAATTACAATTTTTCTGCAAATGAACGTATCAAGTATAGTGTTTGAATCATATTATAGCAATAGACTCGGATGGTAGTGGACAAAAATACATCTAATTTTGACTCATCCTGTACAGGGTGGGACATGATGGTAAAAGCCACACATCGATATCTGTTTCGGAGTTACAGGGTGTTTGCCAAAAATGTGCATTTTTAACAAATCACTGTAACTTTTTTGCCATCGAAAATTTTGTATTTATTTTTTTATGAAATCATTTCCGAAGCACCTTTTTACATTACATAGAATTTAATGGTTTGGTTTGGTTTGATAATTTTTTTAAAATTAATAATTTAAGAGCTATCAACAGAAAAATTTAATTTTTTATTTGGGACGCCCTGTATATTTTTAATTAATTGAAAAGAACTTAAAATTACCTTTCCAAAGATATAGCACACTTGATATTTTGTTATATTGGGCCATTTTTAACTAGTACGCATTGGGCCCCTTATTAATGATCTGCCCCTAATGGAACTTGAAAACATATTTTTCCAGCAAGTCGAGGCACCACCTCAGAACGCTGAAGTTATCAACAAATTTTTTCAGTCAATTTCGGGAATAATTGAATAGCTAACCAAGATCCCAGCCGTGGGCCTTCGAGGCCACCGGACCTAGTGCCTATGGATTTTTATCTTTGCGGAAGAATAAAGGTTCTTATTGTTAAATTGTCCGTATAATCTAGACAAGAATTAGAAGTACTTAGCGGTTATGCGAGGATATCTTTTTACACCTACTGAGTTAATGAATTCCGCAAGAAATGTTCAGAAACGGTCCCGACTGTACATAACCGAAGACATGTCGTCACCTGTAGCAAAATTTCATGTCATAATTTGTTATTTATTTTTATTGTTATTAGATATAATTTAAATATGTTGATGTTGCTAAATATAGTTTAAACTGTTATAAAATTCTGCATCTCTCATGGTAAATATTATTTTCGTTTTAATTGCCGCTCATAGCTAGAGTTAGATTTTTAAAAAAATTATACAAAACCATTAAATTCTACGTAAAAGGGTGCTTCGGAAATGATTTCATAAAAAAAATACAAAATTTACAGCGATTTGTTAAAAATGTACATTTTTGAAAAATCCCGTAAGTTCGAAACGGTAACAGATATCGATGTGCGTGTTTCCCTTTAAAAGCGTCCAATTTGGCCCACCCTGTACATACCATGCAATGTAGTGGTTTACAGTATAATAGTTTTATTAAAATCTGATAGAGACCTTTTTTGGAATATTTGATCATCCTTTTTTTCCTTTTTTTTTAAATGTATGTACTTGATAATGTCTGGCGCAATATCATATAACCAATTGTTAATTAATAATTATATAAATTATATATTTAAATAAAAATGTTTTAATTTCCCTGTGATCTGATTTAACAAAAAAGAAACATCACATTTTAGGAATCATTTATTATTACCTGTACAGTAAAAATATAACTTAACGTTTCTTTGCACTAATAGCTGATGGTGTAACATGTTTTGTAGGATCGAACTTGTACGTTTTTTGAATCGGACCTTTTCCCGCCTTTTGAAATTGCATTTCATCCAATCTTCTTCTTTCTTCCAATTCTTTGGTAATTTTTACGTTTGTCCAAGCTGAAAAATATATTTTCGTACTGTATGATGAGGAAAAAAATGGCGGTGCAATAGTGACCTTTAAAATGACAATAAACAATTTAGGTTTAAAGAATAATTAAATTTAGTAACTTTCGTTGATTAAGTGTAAGGATAGCGCCGTTAAAGTTTGTCAGTGGAGGCATGTATCTTAATGTACTACACTAAAAAATGGTTAAAAAAACTACTCACTAAATATAAATAAAGATGGTATTATTATTAAATTCAAATGAAATATAATCTAAAAAGATATTTGAGTGAGATGCTATGTGGTGTTCAGAATAAATTTATAAATTTCGACTATTTAAAATTTAATTCAATTCAATTTTACCATAACTGTTTTTTAAATAAATTGAAAAATTACAAAAACTAATAATTTAAAATATACAGTTTTTTTAAACGGAACACCCGGTATATTATTTTTTTATTAGATGGAAAGTTAAAAAATGAACATTTTTTGTATTTAAAGTATTTCAAAATTTTTAATGGTTTCGCAGATACACGCAGTATTATTTCTGTGGTACTAACCAACAATATGTAGTAAATTTTAGTAGCACAGATTTCATATGGCTCTTTCAACGGTAAAATACTAGAGAAACATCATTGGGTGGCTTTGATAAAAATTTACTGTGGAATAATATACGGGATGTTCCATTTCAAGAAAACGAAGAAAACTTATTTTATATTTTAGAAAGTTTGGCGTAGAATTTTGAACATCCTGAATGATACGATATTTATAGCAAAGTAAGTATTGACGACCTAAAGTAAATACCTAATATAATTTTGATTTCAAGATAGTTCTTGTATTTTTAAAAAAAATTTTAAGAAAGGCTGAAAATATTTATTTTTAATAGAGAAGAAAGGCACAGCCTAGAAACACGTAACGTTTACGTACGCATGCGCATTTGTTATATTTTTACACGTAAAAGATTATTTACGTCTACGTATACGTGCCAGCAGCGGCCGATTCGACCGTAGGCCGTTGGTCTCTATTTTTTTATTACATTCGAAACTATCAAAATATACTTTTTACTCATATTTTAGGATTATGTAAAGTGATCTGAAAAGAAGCCAAAAATACAATAATATACTGAGCGTTCATTAAAAAAATCATCCCGATCCACTTATTTTTTTTTTTTGAAAACAGCTTCTTTGAATAGAAGTTAAAATATTTTCCTGAAATACATCCTAGTATACACTTTCGTTTGCTCTTAAACAAAATTCCAAAGTTTTTTTATTCTAGGAGCTATAGATGCCCGACTCACTATTATCCTGTATAACATTATACAGGGTGTCCCAGAAATGTGCAAGTATTTCCAGGGGTGGTAGATATCCATGGTAGATATCGTAAAATAAACATATTTTCTCTTTAACGTTTTTCAAATAAGTCCAAAATAACGGAGTTATTTTACTTTGAAAATTTCCAAAAAAATATATTTTTTTGCTCAAATTTTGAGAACCACTGGATCTTTCCTGGAGTTTCTTTCTTGTAAATTTAATCTACTACCTATGTTGCCATATTATCAAGAAATTATGTTTTTTAAATAAAAACTAAAAAAAACCGAATTTTCAAAAAAAAATTCGCGAAAAAAGCCTCATAGGCGTGTTTCTGGGGTTGAATTATACTACCAGTTAAAATACTTGCACTTATTTCTGGGACATCTTGTATGTAAAAGATTTTTTTTAAATTATTAAAAAATAATTAATAAAAAAGAAATTTTACGCAGAATCTAAAAATAAAAAATAAAAACAAGTAGTTACATTTAAAAAAAAAACCGTTATATCCGCCGCACTTTTTTGAAGCACCCTGTATACACTGTAAAAAAATTAATTTTAAATTGCACATCTTAACATTTCCCGCAATTTGCCTATTTAATGTTTTTTTTCCTAATTCTTAAAATCAGTAAAATAATCAACTTTATCCTTAAAGGCGCGTTTACACGAGTCGAGCGAACTGATCAAGTCCCTTGAATTCAACTGACTTGAAAGCATATTCCGAGTTTACAAATCTCATGTCAAAAAGTTTCTGCTAGTCGATTCAAACTGACGACTGTGCGTAAGGCTGTACTTCAAACTGCCTAAATTATGGCAATAGTAATACTTACCGTCCTTCAAACCTTGCTTGAACGTTTTCGGTTTGACCGGCAACTGGTCGGGCTGATGCGTGACAAGTTGCTCGATGTTGAAGTAAGCTCTTACTTTCGGTATTCGCAAAATGCCCACTTGTACCAAGGATATTAAGTTGGTGGACACCCAGTAGCACAAAATGGCTCCGGGGAAATTAACGCTAAACGGTAAAATTATTAGCGGTATAGCTCGAAGGGCGTATTTCATGATCACCATGTTTTCGCTCGTCATTTTACCCATGTCGGCGCCAAGCTAAAACAACAAAAAATGAAATTATTTGTTTTGTGCACTAAAAAAAAAGGTTTATTCGGCTAATATTTATTAATACTAAATAAAATTAATTTTAGAGTCTGACATGTACTAGTAATGTGGTTGTTTGTTTTTTGATATGTTATGTGTAATACTTAATTTAATTTTATAATTATTTTATATTGTTATGTGTATATGTATTTGATAATAATTATAATTTTCTGAAGAAGACCTAAGAATGGTCGAAACGTCAAAACAACTTTTAATTATTATGTTTTAAATTGCTGGCCTAAAACCAAGAATAAATCGCAACTAAATATACAAAAGGTCAAAGAAAAAATTAGATTTATAAATAAAATTAATTCGGTTAAACTAAATTTTAATTTTTTATTAATAAAAAAACCACGTCACAGTAGCTCATGCTTAAAAGTGGTAGATAATGGTGAATTTTGACCAGGGCGCAAAAAAAAATCATGATTTTTTTAATTTTAACCGGATTTTTTTGATTTTAAATTTTAATCAATTTTCTATTTAAAGTCCTATCCTAAGACTAAATCTACGGTAGGTGTCGTTTTTCCACATCGGTCGCTTAGATCAAAGGTTTTTTTTAGAAATATGATATTGATATGAAGATATTGACTGTCTTAAATCGAGAATAAAATTAGTACCATCTAATGTTCAAAGTGCAAAGTACCTATTGCAGAACAAAATGTCGGTAGAAATTTAGAATGAACTAGAAGATAAATTGGGGAAGGCGGAAGTTAGCTTGATCAACATTCAGCTGTTCCAAAAAAGATATAAAACAGTCTTGACTCCATCTTTTGACATTGAGTAGTCTTCGGGGATAAAAATATAAACCTGACAACAGAAGAAACCAGTCCTGCACTAGAGTTTGCGAATGAACAAATACCGGATTCCTGGCACTTCACAATTTCAAACTAAATTAATCTCTGCCATTTAGAAGTGTAATGGATTCACATGAAATAACTTCAAAAATCGGACCAACATTTTAATAGATGAATAGATATGAGGGATATGTGTAATATGTTAGATCTTTTACATTTATTTTTCGATCTATTAAAGTATTTAAACGTTACAACACTTACAACGGCAAGTGTAACTTAACTGTATTTATTTGATGAATAGATATAGGGTATATTTGATATAGGAATACTTTTTTATAGCTTTATAGGAAGTTTTTATATTTTTTACAGTTATCTTTTGATTTATCATAAGTTTTAAACAAGTTGATTTTTTATTTAAATTCATGATTAAAATTAAAAACAATCCGTTGATTTAAATCATTGCACCCCGATTATGACATATTCTGTTTTTGAAGTGACACTATCTATAATTTGAAAATTCCTTTATGATGTTTCGATTTAATCACTAAAAAGATTGTAAATATTTGGTCTGCCTAATTTTTTTTTGGTTTTTTTCAATTCTAATATTAAGTTTTAACAAATTTTACAGTCTGTAGGCGTACTCCGATGACGTTTTTTTCTGGACTGTATGTTTTTTATGTACTAACCTCTACGCTTAAAAAAAGTGTGGCACTTGTTATTATCGGTAGAATGAAAAACTGATCAGGTACAGTCAAGTCGGTGAACCAAAACATACCACCGTGTGCCATGCTTACGACGGGTGTATTTGCCATCTCCTTCAGGCCCATGAAGAAAGATAAGAAGATTGGAGCCTAAAAATTCATATAGAAAAAATGCCGGTACTCGGGTTGTTACAACCTTTAACCGCTAACTTGCAGTCTGGCATACTCATATACATAGCAAATATGTATATACAGATTATCGCCTATCCCTGCAATGTTTGGGAGTTGAAGCCGAGTTAGACACAACTAGATAACCGGTCCATGTATATTTCACATAAGTTCGTCTGTTAGGCAGACACTGGGCGCAAATGCGCAACTCCAAAATTCCGAATGTCGATTAGCCCTTACTCTGAGGATTAGCCAATTATCGAACGCGAGCGCAAACGAAAGCCGTACGAAGTTGGACGGAGCCGTACGAATGGACAGCTGGTGCTAGCGTCTAGTCTCTTATTGGTCTAGTTATCCTATCGATAATTCAAAATCCAGGCTTGCGCACTACGTTACTACTTGCGCACTAGCAGAGTTAACTGAGCGAGTTATGCAAATTCCTTTAGAAGATTTATATACCCATTTCACCGGCTTAGCTTCATAGAATGCAGTTTGGAGTCAATATGGTTACTTTATAAACATATGGGCATGCCACTATACTATTTTTATATAGTTCACACCAATTAAACTTTTAGTCACGTGATTAAGCTTGACCGGCACAGCGTTGAATCAGATCGTTTTATTTGGGGCGTGCGCATAAAAATCGTGTTGAACCAAAAGAATATACTTATGCAAGATTGATGTTCCCATTTCATTTGTTTGGCTTCATTTTCCACTCATTGTGTAAATGGGCTATTAACCATATAATATATTCTTATAAATATATGGGGGTCAAGTGGACCGCAAATTAGCTGTTAAAGGTTAACAATAAAATAAATAAAAGAAAACCTGTTATGTATATCTAAATAACAATAACAGTTCTGAAATAATAGTTTTGTCTACCTTGATTAAAACTTTACTTACCTGAGCCAAGGGGACTATCATGTTTTTAAGAGGATTCAATCCCTTCTCTGACATGAACAGCATCATTTCCTGACCATATCTGGCCGCATTTAACGAATCCCCTGTAAAAAATGATTTACAATACATTCTAATCTTTATTAGGTTTTTTATTATTATTATTATTATTCAGTTCAAACCGAGCACCTGATTGTCGGGCTTCCGTCATTTTCAGTTGTAACATCTGTATTTGTGGAAGGTAGTTGTTCATTTTGGCCGCGTTCCTTTGAGATACGACAACCAGGGGGAACAAAGCTAATCTTATAACAAGAGTACCCAAAGCTATCACGGCCCACCATTCTAAACCTAGACTAACGTGCAAGTATTCCAGACAGTTCTGAACGATACCGACTGGAGTCCAGCCGCCGAGACCCATGGAGGCAAAGGTGGGTTCGCCGAGTGCATTTAGGCTGCTTACTGTTTCTGCTGTTATGTCTGGCACAGGTGGTGGTTCAGGTATCACTTCTGAAGCTGTTAAGAAGAAAACAAAATATTACCTTATACCAAAAATGCATCGTTAAGTTTGCTTTGGGAAAGCAGTACCAAATGCAAAGAGAGTTGGCAATGAAAGCAATGATAATTCCCATATTACAGAGTGTCCCAATATTCCGTGTACATACAGGGTGTCAATATCAAGCCAATACCAAGCCAATATCTTGGTTGTTTGTTGAGCGATCTTTTCCATTTTTGGCAGGAGGCTGTATGGCTATAAGACGTACATTTTGCCCAGGGTAAGAAATGCGATACCTCATAGACGTACGTTTTAATGGGGTTTGATATTTTTCGAGTCAAGAGTAAACTACCCTTAAGACAGTATTTATTTCAAATCTGATAAATTGTATTGAATCCTCCTTACCCAAGATACTTAAGTTCTAATTTTGATAAATATTGATACAGGGTGTGTTATTAAAATAAGACATTTTTATTTTTATTATTATTTTTTTAAGTACTTTCGACGCCACTGGATAAACAACTGGTTTATTATCAATAACCAATTATCAATTAATAATCGACTTAAGTTTTCAGATAGCTTCCATAATAATTAAAATACGATACAAAAATACTAAATATTTTCAATTTATTTTGTTTACTTTAAAAAATTGTTTTTTAAGTTTGTTTTTTAAAGTACAAATGAATAAAATGAGTTACAAAATAATTTAAAACCTCAGTTTTCAATGGAATCTGAAATATGATTTTTATTCGTTTTATTGAGGAATATTTTAAAAAATCCAAATAGCAAACTTAAAAAACAATTTTTTAAAGTAAACAAAATAAATTGAAAATATTTAGTTTTTTTGTATCATATCTTAATTATTATGGAAGATATTTAAAAACTTAAATCGATTATTAATTGATAATTGGATATAATTGGTTATTGATAATAAACCAGTTGTTTATCCAATGGTCGTAAGAAATAATATTAAAAATAAAAATGTCTTATTTTAATGACACACCCTGTATCAATATTTATAAAAATTAGAACTTAAGTATCATAGGTAACGGGGATTCAATATAATTTATCAGATTTGAAATAAATACTGTCCTAAGGGTAGTTTACTCTTGACTCGAAAAATATCAAACCCCATTAAAACGTACGTCTATGAGGTATCGCATTTCTTACTCTGGGCAAAATGTACGTCTTATAGCCATACAGCCCCCTGCCAAAAATGAAAAAGATCATTCAAAAAACAGCCAAGATATTGGCTTCTATCCATCTTAAGTGGGACACCCTCTAGAACTAGTAATAGTAAGTAGCGCACTTTAAAAAAAAATATTTTCAAATATATACAGGGCATAAAAAATATATTTTTACACTGAAGTTGTAGTTTATAATTTAAATGAAATCGGAAATGTCAAAATAATGATTTAAAATTAATTATCTAGTTAATTACTTTTGATTTAATTACCAAATATTACCTGATATAAGAGACTCATCCATGTCAGCTATATTTCAAGCAGCAGTTACATAAACGTATAAATAATAGTAATATTATGCTTTTACTCTATTTCTCTTACCATATTTTCCAGTCTTTACAACAAAAGTATTTGAATCATAATCAAATACTCTGGTTGAAGATTTATTAAAAACTATATCCAAGCCGCAGAAATATTAAATATCTTATTATTTTATCGTCTTATTTTATATAAGAACATACCTGATTTGGTAATAGCATCAGCTGTTGCATTACCTTGACTAGCTGCAACTGCAACACTCGACCATCCCAGTGTATTCCCTAGAACTTTTCCTGAAACATGCCTGTATAGTTTTTCAGCTTCGTATTTAATATTTCTGGATTTAACAACCTAAAATATGAACTTGTGAATCTACTGTTTCTCAGAAAGTGTTCTCACCAAGCTTACTTTGTTTCCAATTTCATTTTTCCTTTCTTCAGCTCTATTTGAGATTGAAAATAACAACTTACAACTATCTTCTAATCTATTTAAACTAACATTATTTTCCTAAAATATTTAAATATTATTATGGTGTAATAGTAACCAATAACATATAGTTACATTAAGTTTATTTAAAGTTTCACCATAGTTGTTCCTAACATTCAATGAAACCTTTCGAAGAACCTCATTTACTTCCTATATAATAAAAGTATATTATTATAAATGAATAGATATGTCTGGGAAATTGTACCTTGATACGATTAGTAATACCTGTCACATCGTTGGATTTACTACATAATTCCTGGATGTCTTTACCTAATTTATTATTAATCTTGTTAACATTCTAAAATTATAAAAAAATGTTACGTGAATAAACTTAACCTAAAAAATTACACAAGAAGCATTTTCTTTGCCTGTTTTTACCTTTAACGTTTTTAAAGAACTTAAGCACTTCTTTAGGCTATTTATCTTATAGAATCCGGACATTTTCTTATATTTCTAGGTGTAACTGATCTGTTTTATTTAAAACTAAATTATATTTTCTCTTAATTCGACATTGTTTTGAAATGAGATTTTTAATTTTTTTTGACGGATGACAGATGACATTGACATTGACAAGAAGAGGGAAAAAGATTTTTTGAATGTAGATTTTTGGAAGTTTTTGAATTCACGCTCAGATGTGTGATTGTTAAAAAATATTAGCACATTTAATTGAGATTTTTTTTAAAAAGTGTTATCAAAGAAATATTTTTTCTGTGCCTTTTTTCAAGTGACCGTCTTTAACAAAATTGTCCAGTCGTCAAAGAAACGACTGTAAACACAAACAATTTTTGAATTTTTGACGTTTAAACAGACTTTTTTTCAAGAAAAATTAACTGTAAATTGTGAGTAATGGTCTAAATAACGGCAAAGAACGATGTCTGTGTGTTTACGCTCATTTTTGAGGAACAACGTCAGGTCCGTAGTCCAGAATGTTATCACACGATCATTCACAGCTTCCGAAGGAACACGAGCTGCCGGATCACCTCCAATTGGAGCCGGATGTCCTTCCCTAGAAGATGACAAACCGTGCCGTCACAACAGACTCAGAGGCCTCGTCTTGGGCATGTACGAAAATCCCGACGACTTGTTCGATCCCGGAAAACTAACGCCCACTGGAGAAAGGTACAATGCCATGGTGTGCGGCAGGCTGTACGAGCTCATACAGTTTGCGGGAAAACCCCCGAAAAAAGGCCAGGTGAGGGTCTACTTTAATTTGGATGAAGATTTCAGTTGTGTGGCTGTTGTGGGACTAGGACGGGAATGCCAGGGATACGATGTTTTCGAACAAATGGATGAAGGTAAGTTAGTTGATAAAGATGTTTATTAAGCCCTAAAGAAGATCCTATTCTAAAGAACGACGATTTTAACGGGACCAACAGTCATGGGAGATTTTTTTTAATACATACATAGTTCTCAGCCATTTCTCAGCACTACACTGTATTGACGATTTTTGGCTACAGTACGTCAATATGTTTTGTAGCTACGGGGTAGCCGTAAGGGGGGAAACGAAATTCTCTGTTAGCCGCCAATTCATGGGCGTGCGATAAATACGACTTTAGATAACATTACTTACTTATTGCTTAATTTTTCCACGTAAATGAGATATAATCTTTATGAAAATTAAAAAATGAAGAAGAAAAACAATAAAAAATCAATAAAATCACGCAAATATTTTATAGATAACCAGTGCACTGTTCTCCAAGCTTGGTCTATTACCGTTTTAATCGATCTTTCTCGTAAAAAATCAGGGCGATGTCAAGCGATGCGTCTCGTCAATAAAAATTCAACAAATTTGCAAGTAGCCAATGTATACAGGGTGCTACAAATTCGAGGGCCGAGCATTTGGTATTTCGGAAGCCGTAATAGATACGACGATGGTTAAATTGGGACAAAGTTGCTCCTTGAGATGTTCACCAAGATGCCATCAAAAAAGTTTTAAAAATTTCATGGATTGCTGAGTTTTTTGAAAAAAAAGGGATTTTTTTGAAAATCAATTTTATTTTTTTCTGTCGTTACTTTTTAGAAAATCAAAAACTAATTGCACATTCTCATAGCCACTTTATTAGGGTTACCTGATAGTATTTTTAGATTTTCAAATACCTGGGCCATCTTAAAATTTTTAAATACGGACCTGAATTTTTTAGTTCAGGTTTTGAAAGAACTCGGTCTCCTGAGTACAATGATTAATGATATGCCACACTTTATACTTCTTTTATGTTTTGGGTACCTTAACAACAACAAAACTATTTAATTATTATTTAAAATAGTTTCAAGTCCGACTCTGTTTTTTTTTAGATAGGTCAAAATTCTTCTGTTCGTTCAATCTTAGTCTGCGGTTGTTGTTTTATCTATACCGGGTGCGTCTTGAAAGTGATTTAGTTGTGTTCATGGCTAAAACTTTTGATTTTTATATAACATCTCGGTATATTTCTCCTTTATTCAATAGAAACGACACTGTGAGTAGAATGACATATTACATGTCAAGTTTTTACATTTTCGCTCCAAAAAAATATTATATTTTAAATTTCAATCTAGAGTGCCATGGCTCTGTTAAAAACACTAATTTTTAACAAGGAGCCTTGGAAAAATAGATTTGATCGTTTTTTGTGTCTTGTCCTGGCCGGTTAAAAGATGCCCAAATCGTATTTTTAATCCTATCCAGTGGCGGCCCGTCAGGTGAGGCAACTGAGGCGCCGCCTCACCTCGAAATTCTATCTTTTAGTAGTACACAAATTTATTTCCAGCTAATCGTATATTTATATTATAGCAATATTAATATTGAATAATTTTATCAAAATATACCAAGCTTGTTATTTTTCGACCGGTCTAAACCAACCGATCGCGCCATATCGTTTCTGTTTTAACTGGACTACAATGCATCTTTTCGTTCTGCGTTCCTGAGGCATAATTTTTGCCGCCTCTGCCGACCTTTTTTATCAATGAACTAAAACGTCACACATTGAAATCAATGGGTCGGGGAAGCGGAGGGAAAGCGTGAAATTAGCTGCTGTAGAGGCGACAGCCAAATCGCTTAAGTGCAACGCTGTTGCCAGATTCATGAAAAAAAATCCATTCTTTGCAAACTTGATTGTTAAGTTCAAAAATAGTTCGTGCTTGATATGGCTGGATAATGCGATATTATAATGCTCTTTGTAATTAAAATTAATCTACTAATTGATCTTCACGAAATACCCCATCAATAATTATGGAAATAATATCGTATATCGAAAAGAGTGTAGAATAAATTTGAATAATATGAACTCTTGGCATCCACGCAATACTGGTCAAAATAATTAACTTTAGATATTTCGGGGAATTACTAAACGTCACGTCTGTTCGGTCGGTTTGTTTTATGCTTTTGTGAGTAGCAAGTAGTGTGATCTAGCCGTAATTCAGAGTTTAGTGATTTATTTTGTAATAATCAGACTTTAAAATGAATCATGTACATGACATTGTGATGTCCCTTCTAGAAACCCCGTTTTCCAGAAGACAGGAGGATGAAAAGCGAGAGGTCTTATAGGGAAACAGACCTACTCCCCAGATAAGTGTTATAACAAATGATAAAAAGACAAATTAACGATCCCGATTACAAGTGTTCAAGCCGAGCGGGATTTTTCTTGTCTAAGACGGATAAAATCTTACTTAAGAAATACAATGTTACAAGATAGACTTTCTGCTTTGTCTTTATTTTCAATTGAAAAGGCGCTGTTGGTTACCCTTAGTGAGAACGAAGGGAAGTTTTATGATGACATAATTGATAAATTTGCTATTTTTAAAGACTGACGAATAAACTTAACCTACAAGGAATAATTCTTATACAATTACAATTTTTAACTATTTTTTACTTGTTTGTTTCTTATTTATGTCGTCGCGTCGCGCGTCGTAGAGCTTGATGTGACAAATTCCGTCTTACTAACCGAACGAAAACCTCAAATTAGAGCTGTTATATTACGATCATTAGATTAGTTAGCTAATACCTAATATATGTTTAAGTTATATTATTTATACTCTGAAGAAAAAAAAATAAAGAAACAGTTCCGATGATGACTTTTTTAATAAGTTATGCTTACAAACTTATTATTTATTTATTTATTTATTTATTTATTTATTTATTTATTTATTTATTTATTTATTTATTTATTTATTTATTTATTTATTTATTCTACAACACTCTACAGCTTACGCCAATTACAGAGTGGGCTACACACAAAAAAAAATTCAATACAAAATAATTAAATTAAACAAAAAATAACATCAATGAGAAGAAATACATATCAATGAAAAAAAAAACAACAACAATATAAACCAAGAAAAACTACTAAACTGAACTAACAACCGAAACCAAACTGCAGCTGAAAATATCAAAATTACACTGATATAAATTATATGCATCCTGCATACGTTTCAATGGCGAATATTTACTTTCATTTGTGCGCGAGGAGGCCACATAAAATGTAAAGCTATACCGAGAGCTACGTGGGACCAGAAAATTGATTTGACTGAGAACATCCGGACTATCAATTTCATTATGTAATAACTTGTATAAAAATTTCAGCTCTGAATTTGTCCGTCGAACCTCCAAGGAATCTAGAGAATGTTTCTGCAATAAAGAGCTGTGACAGCAGCCAATTTGCGGGTAAACCCCATCAGTTCTTAAACTCAGATATTTCAGAAAACGACGCTGTACCTGCTCGAGAGCATTAATATGTGCCGCATAAAACGGCGACCATACAATTGATGCATACTCTAGCTTTGATCTTACAAAAGCATAATAGAGTAGTTTTAATGTGTTACTATTGCTAAAATCTCTAGTATTACGCACAATAAATCCCAAGGCCTTAAACGAAGATTGAACGACTTCAGATATATGCTGAACGAAAGATAGTTTACTGTCAAATGTGACACCCAAATCTTTAAAAACAGATACTCTACCTATCATCGTATCACCGATAGAATAATTATAAATTTGTGTTTCCGATTTCAAGGTATAAGACATGACTTTACATTTTTCAACGTTCAATGGTAAGTTATTATATGAACACCATGCAACTAATCGATCAACACACCTCTGAAGCCGTTCACAATCATGAGGCGAATCAATGCGGGAAAATATCTTCATGTCGTCTGCATACAGTAAGACACTTAAATCAATTATATCAGTGACACCGTTTTAAAAATGTTAAACAATAACGGTCCCAAAATAGACCCCTGGGGGTACACCCGAAGTAGCGCACAGTTCGACCGAATTCTGGCCACAATACTCCACCCTCAACAATCTGTCTTTTAAATAGGACTCAAACAACATTAATAAGTTAGCTGAAAACCCAATCCGATCCAGATGGTAAAGAAGGATCCCATGGTCAAGTCGGTCAAACGCTTTAGAAAAATCAGTATACACAACGTCGACCTGACTCTTTGTATCAATAGAGTCAGCAATAAATTGTGTAATACTTAAAAGATTAGTTGTCGTCGACCGACCCCTTATAAAACCATGCTGATTTGATGAAATTCTACCTCCCACCTGGAACGCCAATGCGCCATAGAGAGCCATTTCTAAACATTTGGAAAAATTAGAAATTATTGTTACATGTCTATAATTTTCAATATTATTTCTATCGTCCTTTTTAAATACTGGGATGATCTTTGAGGTTTTCCAGATAACAGGAAACGTATTTGTCTTCAGGCACAGATTAAATAATTTCGTTAGTGGGGAAGAAAAAACTATTGCGCAATCTTTCAACAGAAATGAGGGTACTTTATCGGGTCCTACCACTCCGGTGGGCTTCATTTTTTTTAAGCACTGCAAGATATCTCTCTCCGATACCCGATTCAGTGTTATATCACCAAAGGAAGAATTAATTTCAGTGCTACCTTACGAATATGACCGTTACCTGATACAATATAGGACGATCGAAAAAAGTCTGCAAATGCATCTGCTATTGATTTTGTATCATTGAGTTCGACATCATTAAACTTCATTTGTTCAGGAAACGACCGAGACTTACTTTTATTATTTATAAATTGCCAAAACTGCTTGGGGTTAGTAGTTAGACCACCCTCAACGTCTCTACAATATATACTATAGTTTTTACTAATATTTTGCTTAATTTGCGCTCTAAGCTCCTTAAATTTTACCAAGTGAAAATTCTGTTTTGATTGTTTATACGTCTTCCATGTATTATTTTTAAGTTTAATAAGCTTAATTATATCTGAACCATACCACGGAGGATAATTTCTTTTACGTTTGGACGTTTTAGGTACAAACAAATCCAACCCATTATAGATCACCCCATAAAAT